GATATGGAAATAAGCCGAGTATCCTGTATCCCTGGCAAAGAGACAGTATTGCGCAGAGGAGAAGAATCGAACACAGCTTCATCGTTGAATCCAATTCGATGCACTTATTAGAAAATCGATATTTTTTAACGCGTATTATTGAAAAGTTTACCCTTGCCACTTGCTGCTTTGTGAAAGTGTCACGTTGCGATCACAAATATATGAAGAGTCCACCCATTTTATGTCCACCGTAAAATTTTTTATCGTTGAATACTAATTACTATTCTAAACGTCGTAATCACTGATAGGAGTAATCGGCTGTTAGAATTTCAAATTTGTGATTCTGACCATTAATTACCACCACTACGTTCGACTTTGTTGATTCACTTAGCATTCGCAAAATGCAACAATTAGAACGTCTTCGACAAAACGTATCGGGCAATAAAGACACGTTGTCAACAGACAAGGAGGCTTATGAATGTGTAACAATTTTTAATTTTAAATATCACCGAGCATTAAATATTACCTCTACAATAACCACGTCGTATGGTGGATTCTTGGGTGGATTCTTCAACAACCTCTGTATCTGTTGGCCACCTAAAAATTCGCAGATGGGATTTCCTAGCAACGTGGTTACGATATAAGCAGCCGGTTCACTTGTAAATGCGCCCACACCTTCGAAGGTGAGATTATTCAATAATTGTTCCCGCACAGGTAGTTTGACTATGTCCGTATAATTTGGATACGGTTTCTTCAAGGGAAACCTACTGAGCACATCCACTTGGTGACCCTTTCTAGCCAAAGCCTTCAACAATTGTTCGAACATAACGAAATGGCTGGACCCATTATATGGAAATAAGCCGAGTATCCTGTATCCCTGGCAAAGAGACAGTATTGCGCAAAGGAGGAGAATCGAACACAGCTTCATCGTTGGATCCACTTCGATGCACTTATTAGAAAATCGATATTTTTTAACGCGTATTATTGAAAAGTTTACCCTTGCCACTTGCTGCTTTGTGAAAGTGTCACGTTGCGATCACAAATATATGTAGTGTTCACCCATTTTATGTCCACCGTAAAATTTTTTATTGTTGAATACTAATTACTATTCTAAACGTCATAATCACTGATAGGAGTAATCGGCTGTTAGAATTTCAAATTTGTGATTCTGACCATTAATTACCACCACTACGTTCGACTTTGTTGATTCACTTAGCATTCGCAAAATGCAACAATTAGAACGTCTTCGACAAAACGTATCGGGCAATAAAGTCACGTGGTCAACAGACAAGGAGGCTTATGAATGTGTAACAATTTTTTATTTTAAATATCACCGAGCATTAAATATTACCTCTACAATAACCACGTCGTATGATGGATTCTTGGGTGGATTCTTCAACAACCTCTGTATCTGTTGGTCACCTAAAAATTCACAGATGGGATTCCCTAGCAACGTGGTTACGATATAAGCAGCCGGTTCACTTGTAAATGCGCCCACACCTTCGAAGGTGAGATTATTCAATAATTGTTCCGACACAGGTAACTTGACTATGTCCGTATAATTTGGATACGGTTTCTTCAAGGGGAACGTACTGAGCACATCCACTTGGTGACCCTTTCTAGCCAGAGCTTTCATTAAATGTTCGAACATTACGAAGTGACTTGTTCCATGGAACGGGAACAGACCCAGTATCCTGTACCCATCACAGATAGACGGTATCATCCAAATAAAAATTATCAAACAAAACTTCATGATGGACGTTCCGTTTAGAAAGATCAAATACTACTGTTGATACTGAATCGTACGTGCTTCTATAGGGGCACTTGCAGAGATTACTTGCGAATTTTATTGTTTCTCTTTTAGCGTTTAAATCGCGTGAAAAGAACGTTTATAATTATCGGTACTGACGTTTCGTGGTAGATTTCAGCAAGGTCGGTAGGATATAATTATACGAGAACTGAACTTGCGTTGTTTTAATGGACAATGACCTCGTACGTTTGATACCGATAGAGGAGGTTTTATAAGCTCGGTCTGAAACGTACGAAATAGACGCGTGACTCGTGTATTAACTTAATTTAGGTCGTTAAACTTTTAATCTAACTATTTATGTTAGATGTACCGTAACAAACAGGCAATATCGAAATGAGAATGATCGAAAACGTTATTTGCATGAACGAGTCATGGACGCTTCAAATTATGCTGACAAACTTAGGTACGTCATTTTTAAAACATTGCAAATATATTCGACCTTACAATGTTGCAATATTGTAGATAGATATTCAAATGTTGGGAAGAAAATATTTTTGAAAAATAAAAAGGAACATATCTCATCGTTTACCATTGAAAATTATATTCTCCAATTTTTGAAACATACAAAATGTTTGGTATTCGAGTAATATCAAGTTTGAAATCCGAACGCAGTTTGAGAGATAGAGAGGCAGGTAATATTACAACAAGAATTGGTGCACCATTTGGAAATAGAACACCAACCTAATCCAACACTCTGTGTTAGTATGAGATTACATAGATCAGTTTGACATCATTTTCGAATGGAAATTCAATAAATAATATTTTACATTTTCCTATTGTACGTGGCTGCTCGCAAATAGAATGTAATTTCAGTTTTCATATCTAATCTCAAACTAATGGAATTATATAAAAAATAAAGGAAAGTATAAAGTACATTATTGTGTAGTCTCAAATGCAGTTAACAAGTTTATCTTCAACTAAGAAAATAATACTTTAGATAGGAATTATCACAGTAATTAAAGATATCGACTTGAAATATAACATCTTATCACCCTCTGCCATCGCGTGTGCTCCTTGAAGCAGTGTAAACTTGCTGATTTAGAATTTTGTCATCCTCTTTATTTCGAGGATAGGAAATTTGAACGAAGAAGATAAAGGAATTTCGTCGCAAGATTCCATGCGTTCAAGGTTGGAATTTCCTTCGTCGAAAGAACGATCCATTCAACATCCTGTAACTTTCATGAAAGTCATTCTTTCGCCTGATCGTTCAGTTGGAATCATTTGAAAAGTTGAAGCTATTACTCGAAGCTTCCTGTTATAGATGGGGTTCGCGGTGAGAACGTTTGAACGGAGCAATAAACTCTAGGGGTGACTTGAAACTTTCTTAATTCGCGATCCTGATAAATGTTTATGTAATTTTAAATACGATTCAGCCCTGTAGATGTTCGAGTATACGATACTTAAACAAACTTCCTCGTAGTTCGTTAATCAAACTGGAAGTGTCCTTATCTTTTAGTCGTTGTAGACTTTCTTCATTAATCGTGCTCTTTCTAACGAATTCATTTTCTTCTACCGTAGATGAAACTTTCTCGTTCTTTTTCTAAGAGCAAACTAGGGTTTTGTCTAAAGTGACAATGGCACAGCTTTTTTTATTTAAAGAGTTTTAAGTTTGTTTTTTCTTTTTATTAATGGTCTTTGGAATTGTTATTTTAAAATTGGATAAAAATCTAAGAGCTTCTTCTTCATTATATCTTCGCGTTAATTAAATTATTTTCATAATCGTTCAATTTAATTTCTTTTTTACTAAAACCCTTGAACTACTTTTCTGAACGTTTCTCAACACAGCTTTCGATAAATACATTAATAAATAAACGAGTAAGAGAGCGCAGGTAATTAAGAAAGCAAAAACGTCGATCAACTTCAGTTTTCTACCAGAGTAAATCCACTGTTGGCAATTGCAAGGAATCTGGGTCATTTCCGATCACGTATTCGATCCAGTGAATTGTTGTTGATTTTAAAATAATCGCGGCGCTTCTTCGTGTCACTGGTATTAATTATCATCTAAAAATCAGTAATTGTGCAGAGAACCGTAAACAAGATACCGAAGTATAGTCGATAATCTCTTGTTGAGTAGAAAGAGTAACGTAAAAATGTGCTGAAAGTGTTAAACTTATTCTTTAATTACATCGAACAATTAAACTGACCCTTTAATTAAAAGACGACGACAAAATCAAGAAAAAAGTAGAGAAAAGAGATTAACATCGTTCCAATATAATTTCCTCGTCTATCTTTTCCTGAAAGCATGGCTCGTTACCTTTTCAAATTAATCCTAATTAATCTTGATTCCTCGTTTCTCAGCCGCAATAAATCCTGTTCGCTCAGATAGTTTATCCACTAATTTAATTTTGATCCAACCCAACGAAATAACGATACTCGGCAGATGCGAAACTTATATCGCAATTGTTTGACAATTTTTTATCCGTGAGTTGTTCTTTTCTTTTATTCCGCAAATTTTTATGATGTAAAAGTTACCGTAAAGATTTGCAAAAGCAGATAAAATATAATTTATGTTCTTTATTTCCTTGTTTTGTATTTAATATTTATGAATAACGTGACGTAGATATATAAACATTTTATTCGTTGCGTTTATTGAAAAAATGCTCATCATAAATAATAAACAGTTTATGCCATGATATTAAATATATTATTTCCTTTTTCGTTCCAAGGTTTGTGTAAAATTAAATTTTATCACTCTGTTTATTTCTCTTGGCTTTTTTAAATAATTCCATGTACGTATTTTTAAAATCCTTAGTTTCGTTTTTCATTAGTCTTTTCAATTCATTTAGCGAGCCGACAATTATTATCGCAGTCAGGTAGCTCAAATTAAGACAAATTTCCGAAACGCGATTTGGAAGTATTTCATTTCACTACAAAGGAATCTAGGTACCGTTTTTAATTAACCGTTTTAATTAGACACGTAGAATTTCATTGTGAAGCAAAAGGAAGTACGAAACATTTGATACACGTAATTTGTATCATCAAATGAAGACAAGAATTGTTCGTTATAAAAGTTCAGAATACGTTTGTAAGCTCGAAACAGAATCTGACTTCTTTTTATAATGCTATTTTTAAAATACCTTTTTAATTAATGAGAACATTCTCAGCTGATGTTGAATATTCTGCTTTGTTTAACATTTTGATATCGGTATTCCTCATTAATAGGACCTAAAAAAGATTTTATCCTCTAATGAATTTTTCTTTTTTTTTTCAGAGCCATATTGTCGCATTACTTTTGATGGATGGTCCTGTTGGCCAAATACGCCAGCTGGAACGACAGTCTATGCTCCATGTCCGAATTTCATCACCGGTTTCGACGCCTCACGTGAGTACTTTTCATATTTTCTAAAATAAATTTAAAGAAATACCATTATTAAGGGTTTAAAAAAGAGAACATTAGATAATATTCTTTGCACAACGTTTTATTAATCAAGATGGTTTAACACGCGTACAAAACAGCTCGTTAAAAAGTTAATTGTTTCTGTATGTACACGTATGTATCGCGTTTTATATCACAATGGTATTAAATAACATTTCCAAGTGAACAGTATAAAAATACATTTGATAATAAAATAAATGATAACATCGTCTACGTAACAGTCCGTTAAATCTCTTCAACTTTGTGCGGTAGTATTTTTAACAATATACAAAACCAGGTTCTCATTTCGAATCGTTTCTTAAACTTATTAATTTCAATTGTTATGCCGAATTTATCGAGAGCTATAAATTTTATTTTTACGCAAATTTCATAATACCAGACTAGTCGACAAAATTCCTTCCAGTCTTTCCTTCGAGATGAAAACAACAAAGATTGTTGTATCATACAAATAATCGTTAAACCGATTTAAAAAAAAAAAAAAAAACAATCTTATTCTTATTTATCAAACGATCGACGTTTAACTAGAACAATCGTAGTAGGTTTTGTTAAGGATATCACAGATGATGCTTTTGACCGCTGGATGATCGCATTCCGTGAACTTGAGCACCAAATCATTGTATCTTCTCCAGTAATCGTCGTTGTTAACCGGTTTTAACAATCTTACCGCCATTAACATGGCCTCCGTTGATCCAACTTCCATCAATCCTTCTATCACGCTTAAATTCGTGTCATCTCTTTCGCGGCCTTCGAATCCACGAGTTTCGATCATCACGTTCAGAATGGAGGACATAAAGAAGATGAAAACAGACGAGAAAATGTCAACCAGTCCAGACATCGTTCGACCGATCCTGACTCCTAACTCTTTCGGTTCCTTTACCGAACCATATTCCCTCGCGAACACCAGTAATAAATACGAAGTGGCATCCATTTGTGGTGTCAGTACAGACAGGAACGTCTTCAGTATCCCATCGATTAATTGAGGACTCGTTTCTTCAGAGTAGGTCGTCTCTACCAGCTTATTGATGAACTTTCCTACCTGATTGTTCACCGGGTAAAACAATGGTTTCTTTGGATGTGGAATATTCCAGCCTGTTCTCACAGTCTCCGCGAAGATGTTAGAGAACACCTGCATCCGTTTGTCAAGTTCCTCTTTGGCCGGTAATAGATACGCATCGATCATGAATTCGGTGGCCGATGCGGAGATATCCGTATCTGGATGGAAAAGAAACCTTCGTAGCAGTTGTTCGATGAAATCTTCAGGGAGTAGCTTGCAAATAGCCGCGTCGATTCTCCTCAATAACGTGGCAATATCCGAATTGAGTTGCTTAGCCGGTAACCCAACCTCTGAATATCTGTCTACGGTGCTTAGAATCAGCTTCACGAAGTCTGATACATATTCATTAGGGACATCGTTGAGCATTTTGATTATCTCAGAAATGACCGACTGATCCTCCACCGTCAAAGTGGAGACCATCCGACTGAACATCGTCCATGTATCCTGATCAGGCTCGTTACTGAATAACTGTTTAGCTTTGGAGAAGAGAACCTCGCGAATAGAATAGTGCTTCTCGGATTCCCATTTACTCAGTAGGAACTGCTGAAGATAATCTCGAGGGGCGACCATGCACATCACTCTTATACCATGTTTCCGGACCGACACTCTCTGACTGGTTAACGTTCTGGCAAAGGATATGACGTCTATCGACGATGTTCTTCTACACGTGTTTGTCAAGGTTATCAGAGCCACTGATAGATAGTCTCCTTCGAGGAGTTTGTTGACTAGCTGCAGAGGAAGCGGCGGATTCAAGATCTTCGAGGCACTGGTCATCCTGATGACTTGGAAGTAATTCATCTTCGCCTCCTTCTGATGAATATCCACCGTCTTACTAGTGGGAATCAGAGGTTCGATGGCCTTCACAAACGTTTCACCGTGAACGAGGGCGGCAAGTATACTCAGGGATCCCTCATCATCTTCGTTCGCTAAATCCTGAAGACATTGCTCGGCGAACTTCACGGGTATGTCCTTGTACCAGCGAGTAGCTTTAAGGAAACGTTTCGTTTGTGCATTGTACCAGTTTCGTTTACAAGCGTCCAGGTACTCTTTCCATCGATTTAGAATGCTTTCTGGATTCTTTCTCAAAAGCTTGAGAGCCTCTCCTGACTGAAATTCAGCAATCTTCTCCCCCTTAGGCGGCCAGAAACGGTCGTGTAAGTCTTTTTCGTTAGTCTGTAGCAGACATTTGAAACAGTGGATAATATAATGGTTGATTTCCTCTTTCTTCGATAGAAATTCGCTCATCTTCTCTAGTAACCAAGGATAGTTCTTTATGGATATGCGTTCTATCCGCGTGTTCTTGTTCACGTGATCCTCGTTGAAGCGGTAGATAGAGTAACATAAGTCGTACAATACACCAGGCCTGTCCGTGCTCCATGGACCATTATCGGAATGGAACTTCTGGGAGATTGCCATAAAACAAGCTTCTAGGCACATCCTTTCGTATTCGGGATATTTTTTCAGAATATTCCAGGATGTTGTATACCGTGTACTTTTCATATCGATCAATATATCAATAACTTGGTCTATAGGCTGGTTGTGAATGATCTTGAAGTGAAGGGCAGCCTCAACTATTCTCTCGCTGATGGTGTTTCCAGCCGGGAGCTCTTTCTTCACGTGTACACGTAAGATTATGTCCATTAGGACTGCCCAGTGATCCTCGCTCAGCTGAGGAAGGTCGTACTCTTCCTCTAAACACTCGAACACTTTCAGAGTCACCCAGTATTGTTCGTTTTTATGTCTGTCTCTGATGTACTTCAAAACTTCCAGCAACGTATGGTCGTCGTTGTTCACTTTACAACAGAAGATCATTTCACATAGAATGACTGCTCTGTTCTCCATCTCAGGAGTCTTTGAGATCTCCTCTTTGAAGGCCGGTATCGATTCCTCCGTAGGGAGGTAACACTTCCAGCAACAAGAGTAAACCATTGTCCTGGTAGGAGCAGTTTCATTGGCTAATTTGATCCTAGCCTGTTTAATTCGCTCTTCGGGAGGCAGTATTTTCAGCAACATATGCGTCACGTTGCTCGATGATTCCAGCAAGTTTCTACCATAGACCTGGCGGTAGGTTCTCAAAAAAAGATCCGCCTTCTTCTCCTGAGGATAAAACTTTAGGTACCTCAACATCTCATCGATTTTGAATTGCTTCACGTTCTCTGGGAACAGTTTCGCGAATATGCTCTCCATACGATTAGCGCTGATCAATTTCAACGGTAGTATTTTAATGTACAACTTCGGATTCCGTTGCAAGTGTTCTTTCCCATTCTTCAGAAAGCTCTCGGCGCACTTGTTGCTCAGGTTCACGCTTGGAGGGGAGTCCTTGTGCATCTCGTACAACTCCACAAACGCTTCTAGCCTCTTCTTGATCAACGCCGCCAAAAAGTCACCGAACTCGTACATGTCGACGCGATGAAGGTTCCTCTGATAGGGATCGTTGTTGCCTTTGCTCAATCTGAAGTATCGCACCACGAAGTCCGGGTTCTTACGGAACATATCCTTCACCTGCTTGCGACTCAACACGATCCTCTTTTCCACGATGGTGTTGTACACGAAGTTCTCGCTGCACGCCAATAGTAGAGGCAACGCTTGCTGAAGACCATAGGTCATTGTGACCGCGGTGAAGAAACATTCGGCCAGATCAGAGTCCTTATGGGCCAGGTGACTAGCGAGTGCCTTTATGATACGCGTTCTTGTTTTCAACGAGACAAAGGGAAAGAGATTTTCGAAAAAGTACTGGACACTCGTGATGGTTTTGTTAGTACCGTCGAAGAAGCTGCTCGATTCGAACGCTTTGTTTACGATCATCTCGTCGTTGGACTTGAGAGCCTCCGCTATAGCCTCGTAACTCTTTTGATTCATGCGATCCTTTTTGTTTAAAATCAAAGCTGCCTGCACCTGTACCAAAGGCGCGAGTGGTTTTGGGATCTTCTCCGCTTCCGCTACCTCTTCTAGGCTGTTGCATTCGCATAACCGATCCTTTGTTAGCTTTGCTATCCATTGGAATTTTTCGCTGAGCGTGCCGCCAGGTATCCCCTGGATTGCGTCCAGGTAAGGCGTCTGAATAGCCATTTTCTTTTTCGATCACCTATGCGCTGTTGAACAGTATTTGAATTATTAGAGGAAAACAAATATACCAACGTTCGTCCATTCTGTAAATACACGTTTCTATAAACAGAAGTTTGGAAATAAAACCTAGCGTCTGTTATAATCTATACTGTTTACTTCTGGATACTTAATGACGTCATTCTATATAGAAACGAATCATCAATAACTATTACAGTCCGTGATCTCATCGCTCTAGAAATTCTCTTCTTCTGTCATGTAAAATGAATGACTGTTTTATAAAGTTTTTACATGGTACACGAGGAAAATTTATCGATATCCAATAACGAGTACAAGTTACTTTTAACATTAAACGGAAGAAGTTCGCGCCGATGAAAACTGAACGAGGAAATCTTTCGAGAAAATCATCTTGATCCGTTAAAAATTAAAATGTAGTAATCGAACAACCTTTTCGCAAATTGTCACCAAATTGTTTAATTTCCTGTTTCTACAGAATGCTCAAACGTCTTCTTTGAGAATAATTACATCATACTAACGTAGATACTTATAGGGTGAGTCATACGAAGCGTTGCAATCAGTCTTCTTTATTTTATTTTTTTATTTATTATCGGCTCATAGATTATTTTGTTTATTGTGCCGTACTGTCAGGTAATCTTCATTAATTTCAAACCGTTACTCGACGCCCAACACGCGATAAACCTCTGAAGCATTGATAAACTTTAGATACCGAATGTATTTCTGTTACATTTTCAACAAATCATTTTTAGTTAACTTTATGGTAAAATTAGACCGAGATATCATTGAAAATGAAGCGATATTTAAGAAAAAAATAAATAAATTTGGCCCACTCTCTACAAGCGTTGCTTTAAATACCCACATATTGACATCATTTCCATTATTAAACACTTTTGAACGAACACAAAACTATAAAAATTAATATTTTATTTCATTTAAAAAATGTAGAATTTGTAGCAAAATCACAACATAAAAAGTCTTTATTAAGCCTTAAATTTATATTATACAATTTGACCGTTCTTTGAAATGGCTAAATTCCGAGAAAAACATATCCGTACGCTTATCGCTCTGTCCATTTGGTTCCTATGTAATAGTTGTTTGTTACTCTACTTATGGCCCACTCCATATACATGAAGTCGTTAGAAGGTGAAAATTTCGGTAGAATATGGAAAAATAAAACAATAGGTCACGTCTACGTGAGAGAAAAATCTATTATTGTTCTCGCAACTGATAACCGAATAACAAGATGTCTGTATACCTTTATCTACCTCAGCGATGGTGGTCGATGACAAAGGCCGAGAAAGCGGAAGCCGGCCGGAATTTTGTCGACGGTATTATGAGTTTCCTAGGGCACTTGAGATTTCACCTGAAAATAGAACCGGTATTTGATGATTTACGAGGAATTTTAACCATCCATAGTTACTAAAAAAATTCACAAACGGCGAACAATTCACGACAAAACACGGATCTTCGCTACAAGGCGAAGTCAGGTCAGTTCTAGCTAATGTGAAACGTCACTCGCGTGTTTATCCGGTGAGTTTATGTTAGGTTAAGTCTACGTAGGTCGAACTGGCTTACTGAGAACAATGAACAAGCGTTAAGGCTGATTTTTAATCGTTCGAACACATAACTCAATATAATTTTGTCGTTACTTTTGACGTGATATATTGTTGAAAAACTTTTGCGAATTGTACGATCATACTGCTTACAGCAAAGAACGGACGATGCTGTTCTGCGCATGCGCAAGTGAACTACTGCACATGCGCGTACATGTATACGTCTTCTTAGGCATTGGCATCGGTTCAACATAGCGCGTTCTTTCATTCGTTTTCGCGCACTCGACGAGTGAACGTCGATGTCTTTGTATACAAATATGGTCCCAGACGAAGTCGCTGCTATTTATACACCATGAAAGTATAACACGAAATGTAATAAAATACTATCATATTTTTTTGTAAGTAAACAGCGTTAAAACGTTTTTTTATTTACATGTTGAAAAAGGTAGACAAAACTATAACACTTGAAAATAAAAGCTACATTTAAATTCATTTTTAAAGGTAGTTATTTAAAGCTTCTAAACAAGCTTTCTGTATAAAAACTGCTATTTTACATATTACATCTTCTCTTAACATATTTCCAATGATTAAGAATATATAATTATTAGTATTTGTTAATTATTCTTTTCCAGTTATATCTCTGATCGTCTTTACTAATGGTTTTCATTTGTAACCTGTTACTGATATTCAAATAGTTGTATACGTTCCCTTTCTCGACTGGTTTCCATACTGTTGTGATAAGACCTGTGACTGTAGGTGTTGGGTTCCTTAAATAAAAAATAAATAGCTCAGTAATAAATATAAAATTATGTATTTTATTTATCGTAACGATTCGAAATGACTCGTACCCTGTTTTCGCGAAATCTGTCCACATTTGAGTGAAGTACTCCATCACTTTGTAGTTGTCGGTTCCGGGTTGCAGGGGTGGTAGTTGTGTTCCTTTCGTCATTTGAAATATATATGTCAAATCGTCTCCGTGTGTTGGTCCTGTAAACGAAAAATATATCACGATACAAAATTGAATAATTTGCAAATGTTTGATAACGTGCAACCGAACGTTTAACGAGAATACTTTTGCATACCTGGCAAAGAAATGTTGAGAGCACGTTTTACCATGGAATTTTTATTATCGTAGGTGAATTGATAAAAGTACGTGGGCTGAACGCTCTTCTCCAATTGAATCTTGATGACTTCGTAAATACCTTGACGAAATGAAGAGTCGGTTATGAAATCCGCGTATTGTTGAAGCAGTTTGCCACTAATCGGTTCGTTGTTGAAGTAGATACGTTTCAGATCTTCCGGGGTGATTCCATCTTTTTTCATGGAGAGCATTAACTCCGGATGAATGACTATTTCAAATTTCTCGTTGATTTGCTGAAAATTTTTCTGGGATTTACAGATGTGTAGGGCGGCTAGAAATATTCCAAGGTTTGTTAACTTTCGATTCTATTGAAAAACTCATGTCCATGATTATTCAAAAACAAACCTCCTTCGTTGATATTGTAACCCAACAAGAAAGGTACTTTGACGCCTGATTGTATCAGTACCGATGGATGTTGGGGTATAATTGGATTTAGTGATTTATCATCGATGCATGGATTAAACAATCCTAACGTGGTGTAACGCATCTAAAAATTAATACTTTTCTATTTCACTTTGTTCTACTACTCGCAACTTTAATGTCAACTCATTAAAAGCCATTACCTCGGATGTTACAAGTTGAGTCGCGGTGGTCACCAGTTTCTGCGGCTCAACTTTCCTCAGGAACTCGAGGACGGTCGCAGGATCGGTGGAATGTTCGCCGAGCTGAGCAGCCAACTGGAAGGCGTATTTCCTTGGTTCTTTACTTGTGATGGCCCAAGGGTTCGATGCCACTCCGCTCTGCGATATTGCTTTGTGAAATAGCCCTGCGACGAGGAAGAAAAGGGTCGAAGGATGAACGCGAGCCTCGACTGCGAGTCAATGGGGTTGAAATAACTGAGGGAACATTCTGTGCGTAAAAACAAACGGGATAACGGGTGTTCCGTACGACTAGGGTGGCTGTTTGAGAAACGATCTGACTGTTAATAAGTGAAATATCAGTGGTAAAATAAAAAGATCATTACTGGGATATAAGTATAAAAACGATGTTCGTGAGGTGACAAGATAATTCAGTGGTTTGAATTTGAATATATACTGAAGGGAATGTTACTGCATTTAAAATCAATTTTTTCATTTGATTCTCATTTAAAATTAAAGTCTGGCGCATTGTACCTTGAGCCAATGGAGATAGGGTTAAATAATGTACCAAAACTGCACCAGCACTTTCTCCAAAGATTGTAACATTATTAGGGTCTCCACCAAAATTGGAGATATTTTCTTGGATCCACTTTAAAGCCATCACTTGATCCTTTATACCCTGATTACCTGGGGCGATTTCGTGCTCCAAAGTAAGAAAACCTGAAACATAGATCCAGACTTTCTTCCCTATCTGCTCCATGATCTCGTGCAATGACCAAAATTATTCGTTGACTTTCGGATAGTTTTACGGTTTTCCGATGATGTTGCTTTCTGCCCGGAATATTAACGAGTTGAATTTGAATGAAATATGATATTCAGATAAAACGGGATCGCTAGGACGACCTCGGATTTTCCTACAGAATTGACGTGTGCCATTTGGTCGCACAATAAAAGCACTTTGTTGCACGGAAACGACGGTCACGTGCAGATATTATAGAATTGTAAGGTTTTACTTTCAATGTAAAGAGCTTTTTATAGTGTCACGTTATACCTGGGGATGCGAACGAAAAATAGATGATTGAATTTAGTTTAGAATTGGTCAATTTCGAACGAAAGCATCGTGAATTATTATTGAAGATACGTACCCAATACTCCGACCCTGTAATTAATTGTGACGAGAACAATATCCTTTCGAACGAGATAATCTGGACCGTAAAATTTGTCGTTGCCAGAATCGTTCATAAAAGCACCACCATGGATCCATACCATGACTGCACGTTTCGGGGAATCGTTGAGCGGTGTGTATACGTTCAAGTAGAGACAATCATCGCTTCCGATTAATTGCCAAGTGCGTATGTCTATTTGAGCGCAAACGTCGCCAAATACTGTCGCGTCTCTTATGCCTGTCCATGGCTCAGGGGGCTCAGAATCCTAAGGGTGAAAAGAAAATTTAACAGCATGGTGAATTTTATCAAGAATGAATTTTATTTATCATAATCTTTTGTTCATAAGCTGCATATAATAAAAGATAAGATTAATTATGTGATATTATCAATTGAAACTATCGAATTAATATAAAAGTGTAATTACAAAGGATTAGAAAAGAGCAACATTATTTCTATGGTTTTTCTTTATCGTTTCAAGAATGATAGTCGCGTATCACGTTATCTTTTATCTTCACGCTTGTCAATTTGATCGTGTAGACTGCATACGAATTTCTGTATCACGTATACACTTAGTATGTTGAAAAAATTGAATCTAATTTCAAGCTACGTTCCCTATTTCTACGTTTCTCCTTGATATTTCCAAGTAATGATAGCAATTGACGATAATAACGTGATTATCAGATTAAAGTGCATGACTCGATAGATTTCAAAATACAGGGTGTTCGGTAACTGGTGGTACAAGCGAAAAGGGGGTGATTCTACATGAAGAAATAAGTCGAAAATATAGAATAATTATAGAATAATTAATATATAAATAATAGGTACCATTATTTCAATATTTCATCGTTCGATTTCGTTCGATCATTGTTTCTCAAAACTTATTATAGCGGCAATTATTTTTACGTTTATCATTTTACTGTCAAATCAAAAATTCATTCCAATGATTGTATGGAATATTCGTTCACCTTCTTATTTACCATTCCATTCATTCATTTTGGCATTTGCTAAACTGAGAAACTCCTTATGAAAGAAATTCACCTTGAACCTGAGTGGACCAACGGGTGGTTTCGCGTATGGTATCCCACGGAATGCTAGGAATTGACCCCCGTAGACATCGTCCACGACCACGCCACGTAGCTGGCCTTGTTTCACGCTTACCACCGGATTATCGCACGCCATGGAAAATTGAAACTCTCAACACTAGCAGGTGAAAACATCAACTGAATTTCGGTGAACAGTTAAATACTCCTTATATAGCCTCGAACTGATAAACAACCGTAGTGGGAATAGGCGTCGAATAATCCGTTAATATCACAAGGTAATATCTAATACTGAATGCCAGACGGTGTAGTTCAAGGTTTAACAATTGTAGAAAAAGTATGAAACGTTCTTGCCCAGGACGCCAGCTACAAGAATCTTATTATTTTCTTTTTTGCCGTATTCGTGTGCTCAGATTTTCTCAGCTTTATTGATTGATATTTAACAAAGAACCGTTAATTCAAAGTTTCCATGTTTTTGAACGTTTCCCGTTGAAAAAGGTAGGCATGAAATTTTCAACAGGGAAATGTAAATCTGATAGCCGCAAGAACCAGTGGCACGTAAAATGATGGAATGAAATTTCACACTGGTCTGCTGGTCAATTTTTGTTATTTTATTTTTCGCGATTCGACAAAATTTGAATAAAAGGAAAGGTGTCGATCGCTCGGTGTAAAAACTGAATTTGTTAGAAAAATTTAACGATACATTCTCAAAGGTCGATATTCCCGAAAAATGCAACAAATGAAGTAGGTTTGTTGAAACCATTTATCAAAGGATTAAGCTCCGAAACTACGCCTGTAAATCATATCCTTCATACCCAGATAATATTATATTATACGATCCCTGAGCACCAAGGGTCGAAGATTATATTTAGCAAGTACGCTAACTTGGGTTTTGTTGTGGCATACTAATTCATGGAAACTCCAAATGCCTGAGTATTTCTATGAATTAGTATGCCAAAACATGTTTCAGTTCTTTGGTGTATCCGTCGAACTGATGCATCGTAAATTAATTACATTTATCCTAGTTGTTTAATTTGTGAGATAATTATTCACTTTATATTTCTGATAGAAATATTGAAGTAATTGATATTGTATTTTGAAATACAATCGATTTTCTGATTAATTTAAAAATCTTCTCTTATTTTTCAAATTTCTGCACGTATCTATCTTATAATGTTCTTCTAGCCAGGCATATCGATCGTTCATTCTGTATTCAGAACTGAAAACGTAGGTACATAAAATGGATTTTCGCCAGTGTACGCGTAATTGAAAATTACCACGATGCTGGAACGTTGTTAGTTTTAATACCCCAGTAAAAAGATCCTTTTCGCAGGATGTAATCAGGTCAAGGAAATTATATATCGGCGAAGTTTTATGTGCAAACTAATAACGTCTATTTATTACTTATCGTTTCTTCAATTCTTGATAGTGGAGATAATAAATGTGTTGGAAAAGATAGAGAAGTTGAATTTCGAAAGAAGAGGTAAGAGGTAACCCAGAATTATCGAAAATAATTCAACTTCATATCGCTCGATAACAACGCATCCGTGGTGATAAATTGTAATCTGATTCGTAGCTTTTCTCGAACACACTTCCTCTTTTGTTCGCCGCGATGTTTAGCGACGAGGAAAGCGATAAAATTCGCGACACAGAGTGTTCTTGAGGCGTACGAAGGGTGTAAAATACGATGGGGTTAGAACGTAAAGGCTGTTGCAAAAGAACCTTCGAATGGTAGCAAGAAAGTTTATTATCAGTGAGATTCGAGGATTTATCGGGTCGTGTGCACGCGAAATGACGTTGCAATTTTTGAACTTATCGATGAAATAAATTTCGGGGGAAGGGTGAAAAGGGTTGCCAATTTTCTTGGGTTAATCGGCGGTGGCAATTGTTTGGGGAACTTCCTAATGGATTCTCATTTTCTACCTACAGATAAGCTCAAACTAGCAGCGATATTTCTCGTTTCTTGTAATGCGATCATTTGCAAAATGTTTATTACAATGAAGCAGCGTTTACAAATTCACCGAGAATAAACATTCTATCTGATGACATAAATAACGTAACCTTTTATGTAATATTATCTTTCCCAACATATATTATTTAGAAGATTTTGTAATTTTTAATATTGAAAATATAAAATTTATTTATTTTAATGTTAAAGCCGATCGCCCTCATCGATCCCTTCTGAATTCAGCCCCGGTTTTCTCTTAATTTCTGGATCAAATCTCCCTTCCTTTCGATTTGATCAACCGAATGAGATGAATGCTGTTTCATAAACACGTATACCTTCATATTTGGCGAAGCGAAGAGGATCATATGGCTCTCCATCAGGAAGTAAAAGTGATTTATCGCTGAGGATAAATGGTGCTTGCAGGTTGGAACAGGATCTGGCATTGCATTAATGATGTAGCAAACCCCTCTTATCATCGATCAATTCTTATAATCCATTTTATGACCGATTATCAGAATTTCATAAATTTGTTTGAAGAGGGATTACCTACTAGACATATTTATCAAATTTCTCAGATTATCCTGGGTAAAATAATGTATTTTCATGGCAATTTTTTTTTATTTTACTACAATTTCTAACAAGGCAGTGAAAATTTGGCAAAAAGTTTTTCAAATGAAAGGCTTTCAAAATTAAAACAAAATAATATCTGAAGAAATGGTATTTAGGAATTTCAATTCTGTGCCACGCGTGGATCTACAAAGACCCACTTCCACCCTTCGAGAAGTCATAGAATTATTTAGATAAAGAAGGCTGAATTTGACTTCTGACCCAACAATCCAATCGACTAATTCTTTCTCCCCTTCATTATTGATGAGATCCAATTTCCTGGGCTTACCAATGAAAAATGGACCCATAGCGTTTAATACTATCAAGATTTATTTCGACATTTGTGATCAACGAAATTGTGATTGACGAATGCAATTTTTTCTCTTTTTCCATATATAGAATATATGGTAATATATAGAATACTCGGTAATATAAAATGGTTATCATTTTGTCGAGTATAGATTATCCGCCACGAGGGATCTACCTTGATCCCACAAGTGTTTTGTTTTCTTTTCAATAAAAAAAAAAAATCGGTTGCTACACGGCTGAAACGGTATTGACGCCCTTTTATTGGCGAAACCGTTTGTTTCCAATATTTGCCCGTTTGGTTTTCCACTAGCTGTTATAAAATGATAAATCGACTGGAAGTAAAAAATGGAATCGTTGCTTTCGGAGTTTTCTTTGAGTATGATGTCTCTTTGATTCGTTAACTTTATTTGTAGAAAAATACCCTCTAACCACATTTATGAAACTGCAATTTAAAAAAAAAAAACGGAATGCAAGTTTTTCCAGGATTCGCGGTACTGTTGGTAAAGCAATTATTTAAAATCCGTGGATTTATTATTTTTTCCATTAAAATCGTAGGATTTAAATTAATGCAATTGCGAGTGATATTGAAATCGAACCGTTCTTTTTTTCTATTCAATTTTTACATGGAAAATTTCTTGGGATAAAAAATTTACAATTTATCGTTGCGACGAGTTTTATCGATAAAATGAATTATCGAATGATGGAATTCTTTTTAACACGACTGTGTCGTTGATATTAGGTAGAAATAAGATACACAATTGTTGAGTAAACGAAAATGAAGAGTTAAATATGTAACTATGTTACGAGTGATAAAAAATGAGATTAGAAATTTCTACATCAAGGTTTAATCCCTTACGAAGAAATTAGTTTCCACAGCTCTTTTTTAATAAGCAAGAGAACGTCTTTCTTTCTGTACTTTTTTTCATTAAATGTTTCATTTTTCTTAAATTTACTTAGGTAATTATACGAAAAAATTGGAATACTTTAAAAATATTATAAATTCGGAGCTCGGAGCGTCGTGTATCATCTTTGAAAATATTTTTCTCTGATTTACGCTCGTCACAAACATATTTTGTATTTCGAAAAACCAGGGATAGATTCTCCGTGGTTAGTTGCCGTCATATAAGAGAATTTATACCGGGAACAGTATAACATCCGTCATTTTAAGACGATCCTACGATTTATGATCATCGCAAAGGATACAATTGCAAAACTTTTCCATGGAACCACAATAAAATACAAAATATGCTCCCATGTGTTATATTTTTCGTTTACTAATTGTTTTAGTAGAGCAGCCAGCTTTTCGTGCGTTTTTCACGATGAGATATACCACGTCCTTCCTTAATTACGCGCTTCCGTTCTGTGGTCACCTAAGTTTGTTAAATGTTTGCGTCAAAGCCATAATTGAAATATAGATACCTTACAATTAACCCGGATGTTAAAGGAAATTTTTATTCAATTTCTCGATTACGCTATTCGCTTCATCTCTAAGACAATCGAACGGAATTGCAGTAAAGCGTAATGAAAGTGCATCGAAGAAGTTGAGTAGCAGCGCGTCGTGAACGAGCTACGGTTTTTACGACGTAACAAGAGAAACCAAGATCGATCTCTGTGAGAAAGAGAATGGAATGACTATCGTTCTTGCAATCGACGATCGATCCCCAACACTTTGCGGATACTCAACCCTTTGTAATGTAATTTCTTTAGCAATTGCATTTGTTCGAATTCGTCGTTTGCTCTGCGAATAATAAAAATTTAAACTCGCTTTCGTCGATTAATAGCTTGACACTTTAGAAATTTCATTAATTAATAGCTTAACGCGTTAGAATCCACTATTTAACCCACGACGCATCCTATGCGTCGATGCAAATCAGAACCTTTATAAATAATTCGCGTTCGCGTGAAAGGGTTAAAAAAGATTCGAAAGCAAAGAGTTAAGATACAGAAGTTAAATGGTGGTGCAGATAAGCGCCGAAAGGGAGAATAGAATAGAATGGAAGAAAGGTGAAATGTATGCTCAGTTCATATATCACGTAATCTCACGGAGGAAAACTTCATCTAAGCACGCAGGGAAAAGGTTTTCAATTTTCAGAGTTAACCCGACTTGTCTGTCGCAAGCCTTTCGATTTGACATTTATTGCAAAATTGAACGCGATCTACGTACTTCTCTGCCTCCCCATTTCGCCAGGGTTGCTTAGAAAAACAGAGGACCGGATATTTCTTTGAAGAAATCGATTTTACTATTTTATTAGTTTCATTACGTGTCTGTTTGTTCCTAAAATTCATTTACAATTTTTTATTTCATCTTATATTAACTTCAAAGGTTGATTGACAAATGACATCATTTACATACCTACGTACACATTCCAAATGCTGGATACGAATTCAAATATTTATACTAATGGGAGTCAAAATTACTCTCTCGTTACAGACAGTTAACCGTAACGTTTCTAACATTAATTTCATTTCTCTTGGAAGTGAAATATTATTCCTGTAAGCACCTCCTTCTTGACTTACAACTTTCTTTGATGAGAGGAATAAACTGCTGTCGTCTGCTTCCGTTTGTTCTTCCACTTCAAAAGCGTAGAACCATACTGTTTTTTCGCGAAACTCGAGAATGGCAAGGTGTCGAGTTAAAGTGCGAGCCCTTAAAGTGCACTATCTTTCGTAAGGGCAGAAGAAAAAGTAACAGGGTTAGATTTCAATTTTTCTCGCCGATTTCGATAAACTCTTTGTTCGTTTATCTATTTAGTTTCATTTCTTCTTGTTTCAGTGATGGCACATAAATATTGTGAAACTAATGGCACCTGGTTCCGACATCCCGAATCGGGTCAAGTCTGGAGCAATTACACAACCTGTGTCAATTTGAAGGACCTCAGTGTAAGTGATTGACGTAACTATTCGATATTTCACTTCTAATTGAAAGAAAACTTTACACGCGATTGCTTTCAACTATAGTAAATATTATTCCAAGAGCTGGGAATAGCATTGCACAAAATTAAAGAATACGAACATTTCGAAAATAATAAAATATAATTTAATATCTATGCTGTATGATAAATAAAAATTAGAAAATATAAAAATAATAATTCTCGAAGGGCGGAGAAAGGTATAATAATGCACTGATTTTCAAATAATTCGTGACCAAAGAAAAGACGAAAATGGCAAATGCGATAACAATTTTTAATCAGAAAGGGGTCGATAAAGTCGCAACTGTCGTGATAAGATCATAAATGAAATCCTGTCGTATCTTCGGCAACACGTGTTGAATTGCAGCAAGGGGATGAAGGATTATTCTCACGATAATAATGTGATTTGAATGGATGAGTAAGATCCGGGATCAAACAGGATGACAGTGTAAAGGTTGAAATGAAAACGTGCTAGGTTAACAGAAATACATAGGTATGATAATAAAAAGAAGATGAAATGCATAAACCGAGAAGATAAGATGAAAAGTATCGGAACGGATCTTTCTATTTTCTTTATCTTTCCAAGTAATTTGATAATACAGAAAGTATTGAAAATAAAGTGTTGTAAGATATGATCACAGTTGGTGGTATGTTGCTGCTTGTACTCATATTTTCTCTTTTCTGAAATATTAAAATTCCTTGGAAAACATATTTTTGTGAAAAATACAAGAGAGAGGGCTCTTGGGAGTAAAGGATAAAATAGCTTCTTTAATCCGTATTTATTAGTTCCGGATTGCTGACCTCCAATATTTCCGGGATAGGAAGATGATAATAAAGAAGAATTCGGATAGAAAAGGATATTTAAAAAAAAAGATATTTATTTTTAATAAATCCACTGCTTTTTATCTTTACACGCTTAATATTTACAAGGGTAGAAATTTTACAATATTTATAATAAAAATTGAAGAATTCTGAAATTCTAAAGTAATTGTAGGGTATAATTGTACAGTTGAAAAGGTAGATACAAAATGTATTGCGGTGTGATAAAACTCTAGAACAAGAAGCACTCGTGCCAATTCGACCTAATTTTCTGCTCGATTTCTCGACGAACGTCGACGGGGTCATAAAATCGAGCAATGTATGTATGTACACTTGAAACGAATTCCTGGATCGAATCAAGGACCTCTTATCTTGAGCATTTCAGGATGTTTAGAAAATCCAACGAGATACATGACTGAATATTAGCGAATCGATGCATAACGCATGGATTGGACGTTTGCAATATTGCAAATGATAAAACGAATGCGTGTAATATAATTTACTCATACGCTGAAAGACGTACTATTTGATTTTCTCCGAATGTCTCAAATGCTTTCGTAGATATGACGTTTCAAAAATGCACCACGAAATAGCGCGAAGGACGATTACATAAGTGCATTTGCATTCCGTAAGTGCATCATTTGTCATTAATATTAATTAAAATTAATATTTGAATAAGGAAGATAAAAAAGGTGAAGAAATAATAGTTATTAAACGCTTTTCAGTTGCATATACATACGCTTTTTATTTAAAGTCTCGTGCCAGCGTTTGAAATTGTAAAAAAGAAGGAAGTAAAGTGTATTTATGCAAATTTAATTTACATAAAAGTTTAAATGTTATCGAAGTCACTGCAAGCGTTTGCATATTTTTCATGTTTACTCCCTTATACCGGATGTATTAACCTCTATATTCCTCCATCAAACCAGCTACAGCTTTATGAATTTCTGTTGCTCCCTTTTTTCCTTTCTCTCCACCTAGTTCATTCATTCCTCTATCTTCCAAATTTTCCTTACTTTGCAAAATATTATTCATACCGTTCGTCATTTGAAAAGTTTCAAGGCATAAATTTTTATCATAATTATAAATATGTTCATCGTTTATGCACTTTAAACATTTTACATTTTATTTGAATTATTTCAATAAATATAACGGTGCAAGTTGATATTAAATTTGTGTCAAAGATATGTTTGCTATTTCTCATTTGTTTAAAAACGTGTATTTCTATTAATAGCAGAATTAATTTTAATTCCAGTGGCAGCAAGGAATAAATGGAATTTACGAAGCCGGATACGCGATATCGTTGGTCGCGTTACTGCTCTCGTTAGGTATTTTGACGTATTTCCGGTAAGTCGATGACAGATTCTAGATTTTTTTCATTGAAAAAACTGGCTCGAGAGTGCGGTGGAAATCGATGTTGGTCCAATTGAAGATACTCCAAGTCGGGCGCATTTATATAGTTGCAGGGGCGAAATAATGACATAAAGAAAACTTGAAATTAAATGAAACTCTAAAAGGATCAGCCGATCGATCTTTTCTCGTTACATTGCAGAATCTTGGTTAATCGTTCGTGATCAAAACTAGTTTCAACTGATTATAAGGGGGATTAAATTGGATCTTACAGGGTATGTTAGAACGAAAGCTGATACACGTTCTCAAGATTTATACGTCGAGATAGTTATTCGTATCGTGTAGAATCTTTCGAATTTCTTAATTAAAAAGAGTCATGAAATTCAAAAAGAGTGTAATAAATAATTAATGTCATATCTTAAGGATGATACTCCAGAAATTTTATAGAATTTTTCCTATATTTTCATTGCCCTTTTCTCTGGATGCAGCTCGCTAAGATGTGCGAGGACCACTCTTCATATGAACCTGTTCGCTTCGTTCGCTGTAAACAACGCTCTTTGGCTTGTCTGGTATAGATGCATCGTAGCGAATACGGATTTACTGTTAAACAATGGGGTACGTATAAAAGCGTAGCTCCTATCTTTACTCATCACTTGACCCGGTAACTCATATTTGAATTCAGTCACCAGAAAGTATTCGTTTCGATGAGGGTCAACCTTTTTTTCTTTTTTTCTTTTATTCACTTCCATGACACCATTTTATGTAAAATTCAAATTCTCTTCTAATCAGAGTGTTCGTATTAGAAAACTCGGTGATTTTCAGATAACGTGTCGTCTTTTGCACATAGTACTGCATTACTTTCTACTCACTAATTACTCCTGGATGCTGTGCGAGGGTTTTTACCTGCATACGCTACTCGTTAGTGCTTTCACCAGCGAGCACAGATTAGTGAAATGGTTGATTGGTCTTGGGTGGCCGGTACCAGCTGTGATCGTTATGATTTATGCCACTTTGAGGGCCACCAGCGATGATCCTACAGACACTGAACAGTAAGTATACGATAAATACACGTGATTATGGTATTACTGGTTGTACTAATAATATAAGGTGGCAAGTTGAAAGCTTGAAATGTACCATTGGAAAATTATCTATTCTTAATAAGATAGAACGGTGCTCGTAGAACCATCCTGAAACAGCATAGAAGTATCACAAGGTTCAAGCTAAAAATTGAGACAATTAAATTAGAGTGAATTACTTGGAAATCTCTAATGAACAAAGAGATTCTACTGGGTCGGATTAATGAATCTCGTGGTATGCTCACTCACGTTCACGCTCTTGACATCTTCTCAATTTCTGGCCGATATTGATAATGGAAGTTGAAGTCTCGAAGTTGACGTAACAACGCGGCGAATATTAATGTATTTTGTGGTAACTGAGATTTTCAGCGGAGATGTTTACGTGGCTTAGAAATTGGGAAGTTAAAATAGTGGTGGAGATTTGATAGGAAAGTTGAGATTTATGGTTGACAAACGCATTGAAATTGAAATTTTATTTATTTTATCTTAAGGTGCTATTGTTTTCTTATATTAATTTTATGTATTTGTAATTTCAGGTGTTGGATCAACGAGGGTAATTACATGAGCGTACTAGTTTACCCCGTGTGCGTTTCAACCCTGTTGAATCTGCTCTTCCTCTTCAACATCGTTCGTGTTTTGTTGACGAAGCTTAGAGCTGGTCCTAGGATCGGTACGCAGCCTTCAAGATCTATGCGTCAAGCATTTCGGTAATTAATTAAATATCGTAATCTTTTAGTATTACCTTAGTGCTAATTAATCTTTCCCTTGTAATAATTCTTTTAACAAAAATATTATCATTAATTGTAGTATTAGAATTAATAATTATTATAGTATTATCCCTAGTACATACATACATATTACTATAGTGTTAATACACTAATTATTATATCCTGTATATTATTAGTGACTATAGTATTAGGATTAATATCACTAATTAATTGTTTTAATAAAATTATTCTCTAACAGGGAAGTAGAAATAGGTACGGTATATTTCAACCTAACGCTTTATCTTTCTCGTTAGAGCAACGCTACTTCTTGTACCTCTATTGGGTCTGCATTATCTCGTCATCCCCTTTAGACCACCAAAAAATCATCCCTGGGAACAATTTTACGAGGTTCTTTCCGCTATAACGGCCTCTTTCCAGGTAAACGATTCGATGAAATTTTCATGAAAAATGGAATTCAACTAATGTACTCTAATCTCTCTCCCTCTATTCAGGTATTATTCAAACTTTAACTATTAACTCGGGATTTGGTAACTAGTAGAATATGTATTTAGATAACGAACTAAAACTTTATTGTTAAATTATCAACAAGAGAAACCAATTCATTCTTGTTCCCCCGAGTTCCATTTTGTTAAATTCTACATTTTTTAAGGTTGCTGACTGATGCTTCTATTCCACAGGGTCTCTGCGTTGCCGTTTTATTCTGTTTTTGCAACGGCGAGGTAAGCTGATGGTGTCTGCAATTACTTATCTAAAACCAAATGAACAGACGTATCGATTAATAAACGTTGTTTCTGTTCAGGTAATAGCGCAGTTCAAAAGGAAATGGGAGGGCACGGCGTTTCTACGAAATCGAGCCAATTCTTGCACAGCCACCACAGTCTCGGTACGGCAATTTCCCAAGACACAAAATAGTCTCGTTCTTTCTGCCTGGTGTAATTTGCATTCGTGGATACCCTGTTTATTTCCACTTCTTTTATGATACTATACTTACATATATTTCAATTTCTATATTAACTTTCTATACTATACTTTTACTATATCGTTATGCACGACTTTGCCTAATTAGAACAATTAGTCCAGTCTTTTACTATACGACCCCTCATCTTGATACGCTATATTAGTACTGCTCGAACTGGTTATATTCGTTTTGTTAATCGCTTTCACCGTCACCTAGTGCAGCCATGGAACGCTATACAAGTTTCTAGAATGTAGTAGTATAAGCATATAACCGCACGACTGGTCAATGGTGCGATGCGGACTGCGAGTAAAGTCCTAAAGTACTAACACGTCAGCCACCTTTCCTAATTGTACAGCACCTGCTCTACCATGTATTAACAAACGGCTAACAAGTTGTCCGTGTCGTGCCAATGACAACGTGCCCGAGTCAAGTCCATTGTGGGACCTTGACTGTTTCAGTTTATCCGCTCGACCGCAGGTCCGATGGCGGGAGAGGAGAAGGTATGACTGTCGTCAGCCGACGCCGGAAATGCTGGACGAGAAACCCGCGGACGTACAACTGGTCGATCATTGTCCCGTGACCAATAATCTCAACAATCGTGCCAGATTACTGATCGAGTCGAACGACACTGAGCATTGCGAACAAACGCGGTGTTGATAAGCCTTCGATGAAAGGAACAGCCTTCAGAAGTGGCTGACGAAGGGATTACTCGAAGGTCGGAAGTGTCACGAGAAGGGATGATCAAGCTGGGACGAATTCCTGGTGACACTGATAAGAGGGAGGATTTCGAGGGGACAGGATCAAAGGGTGCTTTCTTTTTCGAAAGAACGAATAGGAGACAGATGGTTAAAGATCACAGATCCTCTATTAGCTAGGAGTCCGCGTTGTTGAGGATGATGAACGATGCTTTTCTAATGGGATGAGTGGCGTAAAGTGTGATAAATTGTATTGGGTGTATGCAAGAGTATGTAATGATTAACAAGTTTAACTTGATGTTATTAGTTCCCTTAGGAATTATTTTCTAATCATTTTGTTTTTTCAAGGTTGCTTAATTGGACTACTACTGTAAGTTTAATTATAAAGAAAAAAAATTCTTAGACTTTTGATCCCTCATTACTTTTGTATACACTTAATAAATTATACGGGAGGAGTGATAGTGAGGGATGGGGTAGTTTAAGAAGAAATTAGTCCAATTTTTTAACTTATTTAACATTGATTACCGTGTTTTGGTGAATTTTATAATATCATTAAAGACAGTTAAAACATTGAAAATTATGGTGATTTAAGACAAAGAATTATTAAATTAAATGTACCGTACGTGTGTGTTAATTATGTTTTAATTAAGTTTGTATGTTAATAATGAAATTAAATAATTTCGCCTCGATTTACCTTCTTCACTGAAATATGCAAGAAAACATATCAAAACTGCTATAACAAAAGTGAAAAGGATTTCATTAAAAAAACTGATGGGGTTAACATATTTTACAGTCCCCGCGATGGGGACTATATTTTTATTATATATTATCTTTACATTATTTTTACTAAAAACATTTCAGTTTCGGGAAATACATAGTACTATATGGACGGTTAACAAACCCAATTAATATATATTTTTGTTAAACTTAATATATATCATCTAGTTACAATAAAGAGTAACATATAAATAATTATAAACTAAAGTCAATTTACGATCAGTTTAACTATGACAACCGGGTATATGAAACGGGTGTTTATATCAATATACGTTTTATTACAAAAAACACGTTCGAGAATAAGTATATATATATTTAATTAAATATTTAAATAAATATATATCTGTATTGCTAAATTAATTAATTAAATGTATCTTTATTTAAATATTGAATTAAATATTGGGGTATTTAATTATACGTATTTTTTAAGGCCAATTTAATTTTGCTATTTCTGGTAATATCAGGGCAGTGAGAACACTTGATAAAAGATTCACACTATGATTGTCCAAAATTTGTCTGCCACATACGTGTTTCACACCCTTTCCCGGATGTTCTACTATCACTCCTTTTTCATTCACACCTATAATAAGCAAATCGAATAATAAATCGCTGCGAAATACAAAGAAAGTGTATAGTAAATGATAAAACGTCTTACCAGAATATTGTAAAGTGGCCCCCAATAGAGAATCTATTACACTACCGAACAAACCTCCGATTCCTCCAACAATAATAATAGGCCATTGTGGTGCTGCTAACTGAAGTACGGCTGTATCTACAGTGAGCAGTATGATTAAATAATCAAACAAACCTACGGTCATACCACCAAGTGCAGAAACAGCTAGACCTACCCATGAAACACCACCATTCGTTCCTATGAACATGTATGAATTAATCTACAGTATCTTAATGCAAAATCTTACAAATGCTGAGCTTTACTTGATCAAAACAGTTACATACAGTGTATTTCATTTAATATTCATTTGCATTTTAGTATTCTCACCTTTTGGAACACGTTTAAATGAAGTAATTAGAAAAGGATCTTTGCTACCAACAACTGAGCCTATTTCTGATGCCCAGGTATCTCCATTGCAACACGCGAACGCTCCTAAATGGTAATTAAGTAATACAAATTTTGAAATCCTTTTGTATGCAGTAATTAAATAGAGAAAAAAATGTACCTAAAATCCCTATTGATAGCCAGGAACTTCTGTAGTATTTATCAAAATGAATTGGTTGTTCTACACATCCTACATCCAACAAGTATAAAAGTGCTAACTGTGTTGCCATACCACCATTGCATAAAACCTGAATCCAGTTTCTTTGGCCACCATCCTTAAAATCTGTTTCAAGTTTCCTTTTCTGATGAGCTCGAAACTTTGTGGCTTTAGAGGAGGTAACAAAGAATGCAAAGAGACAAGCCAGATGACAAAAACTGGTAAGTGTTAAAATGAAACCCATAAATAATCCTGCAATATAATATGCTACAATTATTTTAAAATGCACATCAGAATCATTCAACTAAAATCTATAGTGCAATATATAGTACACCAATAAATTTAGAATAACTAACAATTTTCGATTGATGTACACGATACTTTCTTTTATTTACAATAATGTACATAATGTATTTAATATTTAAATCGCACGGCATCCGTAATTTTCTTACGTTGAAAAATTGAAGAAGAATTGCATTACCAAGAACAGCACCGCTGACATCCACGCTTTTTCTTTTCAATCCCCAAAGAGCCATAAAAATTGGAATTACAACAGCGGTTAACCACCTCCATGGTGACACAACCAGGTGTTCTAAAAGAAAGGTTATGTTCTTCAAAACAATCGAAACAAAACAATAACAAAGAGATGAAAGAAAATAAATTAACAATCATTTTTCGATGTACCTTCAAAGTGGTTTTCAGAATCCAAATAAAAGGTTGAGTAAATCACGTTTACAAACCAAAATAGCATTGAAATTGGAATTGCACAAGCACTAATAAGAGCCGGCATCAGCACATGCGATCGTTGATTTTCCTTTTTGTTCAGTGAAATCATATTTCGAATTGTAATGTAAGTACTATGTTAAATTAGACTGTTCGATAATTAAGTATCGATGTCGTTCAGTTTAAAATAACTTTCAAATGAGACCAAACGAGTTTTATACGGATTCATTTACATTCTCATTTCTCTCGAGCCAACACCAGCTGTTGGAATGTATGAGTTCTGCATATCAATAATTGGTGATAGAAAATAAAAATACATACATATTCATACTTTAACCCAGATAAGATACGTCTGAATATTTACAATAAATTTATAAAGTTTCTTTACACAACTACAACATGATGAGTATACTGAATTGTGTTGTGATTCAGAAAGGATACAGATGTAGGAAGAGAAACTACTTATAATAAAATATACTGATTCTTGTTTTTTTTTTCGAGTGATTTAAATTGATGTGTAAAATTACGTGAATACATTGATAAGAAATGTTGGCAGATACTGTACTTTATCCCGGCTTAATATGTACTTATTAAACGTCATCTGTTAAACACACATTTGCAACATAAACTTCTTCTATTTTCTCCTTCCACTCATCTGGGGAGGGAAGAAACAAGAAGGAGTCAGGTGTGGTTAGATATATTCTTTCTTTTATGCCCGTTTCCTCATCAGTTCAGAGTTTCTGTGAACTGCGTTCAATTTTGAACGCAGTTTAATCTTTAGTCAACGTAGTATGTATACCGCAGTTCACCAGAGTCCATAACTACGACGCGCAGGTTGGAAGATGGTGGGGGAACGCAGCGAGCTCTCTGCTAATTGCTTTCCACTTCGTTTGGAAGTATCGCCAATCAGGGCGAAGATGCGCACTGGATAAGCGCGAAGAACGAAAACTGGTCTTTTCGCAGTTATGGACTCTGGTTTCCATCAACGCCACCTTTGTTCCGATCAACTGAACGTATACCTTGGACGGTATTCACAGTCGCAACTTATTTCTAAGTTGATTAGAAATTGATTTGCTTAGGAAAGTAAATGCTTATCGCTGTAGATTCACAGTCGATGCTTAAGAAAGTCTTAAGCTCTTATGAATTCATAGTCGAATAAGTCCGCCTTATTTGTAGAAAACGAGTTCTTATTTGGCTTCATTGAGGTTATGTTTTTAAGTCGACGATATTCGGGACTTAAGCACGCGTTTGAAGGTGGTATTGTGCAGTGTTGAACAATTTATTTTGATTAATTATGGTAAATTATTTTTAAAAAAGTACTAAATGGAGTTAGACTTTGCGGATATCGAGGATGCGTGCTAACCCAAACTATATTTGTATCAAGTGATGTAATTGGTGCATAGCAGTGACTACAGATCCAATGACTTAGATTTGTAGTCACTATGCATAGGTAATGAGTAATGAGCGTGTCATAACCAGAAAGAAGCAGCATAACCAAAGTCTGTCTAACCTTATTTATAATATTTGTATCTGAAAATAATAAGTTTATAATTTAAATTAAATTGTTTTTTCCCGAGTTCAGAATTTATTTTAATCAGATAAATAGACAAATGGAGCCAGTAAATAAAAAGGAGAGAACCAAGAATTTTACAGAATACGAGAAAATGCTTCTGGTTGAATTAGTCCAGGAACTTATTTGAACTTATAGTAAAAAATTGATGGAACACAAAATGTCGTTGATCAGAGTTTAATTTCGGTTCAAATTTTGAACCACGTTGGAGGAAACGGGCATTAGTCGATAAAAAATTACTTTGCATCTCATTCAGCCAATGACAAGAAAAGTATTTTTAATTTCTATTATCAGTACTCATTGTCAGTTCCAATCGATACCGCAAAATGTGATAAAAGGATGATAAGGGGGCTCTAAAGCCCCCCGGATTTATAGCAGAGAACTTTCTTATGCGAGTGATCTGTTTTATATCTCGTTTGTACTGCTATGAAGGTCACTGAACGCTATTTTCTAGAGCTTCGATTTTCACGTTCTAATACTTTTATGTACGGCGCCATACTTTGTTGATCACGCGATATCGCGTGCTCGATCGTCAACGATAAGTGGACGATTGCGTGCAACCTAGGCTTCCCCTCGGTTAAGGGGAAGCGAAGGGGAAGGACGAAGCCACCATTTATCTTTGTTCTTTACGTGGTAAAAGAAGATGAGTTTAGGTTAAGTTCTCCCTAGAGGTTTTAACGAAACCGAAGGCAAGTGGTGGAAGGCTTCTCCTGGCTCCTCCTACCCGTACCCTTAGCCAAAGGGAAGCCCACGTTGTATCCGAGTACAAGATCACGCGATATCGCGTGCTCGATCATCAACACCAAATGTCCGCTCAGGCAAACTCGCTTTGCCCCAATATGTATTTAGCTTCAAAGCGTCAGTATTTCTCTGGTGTTACCCGAAGAGAGCTGCTTGTCCCATAGTCTCTTGTTAATTATTTTTTATTAAAATCGCACTTAGTTCTATCTCATTATTTAAGTCTACAAAAGAAATGGAGATAGATTCTATTCCTGGGCCATCACGTATTTATCGTAAACGAAAACGTAGTTCACCGCAATGTAAACAGAGTTTACATAGCTTATGTAGAACAGAATTAAACGACAGTGACAGTGATTTATCAGCGAGTTCAAGTGACTATAAATTACATTCTGAATCCGAGAGTGATGTATGCGGCACTGAGTTATCTGAAGATGAATCTCGCGAGTCAACTTCAAACACAGAAATTCATTGGTCTTCAGATAATTCTTCGATGCAAACTATGTCATTCGTAAAGCAACAAATGTTATTAATGCCAATTCCAGCGCCCTGTGATCCGATTAAATTTTTTGAAATGATCCTCACCAACGAATTTTTCGCGGACATCGTGAAATACACCAACGAATACGCACAGCATCTTCTTAATCAGGAGATGAGAAAATCCTCAAGAGTGAGGGCCTGGAAAGATCTTACGGTAGATGAATTAAAAACATTCATTGCTCTACTTCTACATACAGGAACAGTTCAATTGCCAAAGCTAAACGATTACTGGAAGACACATTGGCTTTTTAATTATTGTTGTTTTAGTAATTACATGTCTAGAAATAGATTTCTGTTAATTCTACGCTGTTTACATTTCTCACCTGTTGATGTACAATCTATTGAACCCAACGATAAATTATATAAAGCATGCCTTGTTCTTGATCATTTTAACAATACTATGAAGAATATTTATTATCCCGGTAAAGAACTTTTATTAGTTGAATCAATGTTGTTATGGAAAGAAAGACCAATCATTCGTCAGTTTATTAAAAATGAATACCACAAGCAAGGTATCAAGTTTTACATGCTGACAGAACCAGATGGTACCATTATAAAGCTTGAAATTCATTCAGAAGCTGGAGATGAAACTTCAGAAATCAGACATACAGAGAACATTGTGTTCAAATTGCTTCAGAATAAATTAGACTCTGGTCACAGTATTTTTATGGATAGTTTCTATAATTCATACAGTTTAACAACAAAACTTTTAGATCATAATACTCATTGTACAGGAACCTTAAATAAATCAAGGAAAGAAATTCCAAAAGATTTGGTTTCAACAGTACTAAAAAAAGGAGAAAATAAATCAATATTTTGTAATGGTGTACATATTGGAAAGTATCATGATAAACGAAATATTTTTTATATAACTACAGAGTTTATGGATAATATGATTGAAACTCGAAATAAGCAAAATGTTAAAAAACTGAAACCTCAAGCTCTTATTATTTATAATAAATATATGTCAGGAGTAAACAAACAGGACCAAATGATGGCCTATTACCCATGCTCAAGGAAGACCTTGAGATGGTACAAAAAGATATTTGTACACATATTACAATTGAGTTTTCTGAATTCTTTTTACCTGTACAATAAATTTGGTAACCGAAAGTGCAGTTTCTATGATTTTAAAATGCAAGTTTTGGAAATTTTATTGCCTAAAAAAGAGACTGTACCAAAATTAAAAACAATACACAGACTTTCCAAAATTGAGAATACGAAGCAAGATACTAAAAAAAATATTAAAGTCACAATGAGGAAAGAATGTAAAATGTGCAGAATACGGAGTGTTCGTAAGGATACGACATATCAGTGCAATGTTTGCACAGGACAACCAGGTTTCTGTGTAGAATGCTTTTTCGATTTTCATAACAAACAGTAGAATGTATTACCGTTGTGAATAAATAAGTACTTATATTCCTATAATATTTCCGCTTCTCCTCCTCATTTTAAATAGGTATAGCTTTTTTGATTAAGAGTGTAATATTTGTTTTACTGAACGAACTTATAAAAAACAAGTTCGTATTGAATTTCTGACACCTATTTATTACATTAACAAAATGTACATTATTCATATCACCTATACACAATCCGATGTACAAGTTTGGTCTGTGACAACATGTTCTCAATGACAAATTCTTTGTTCGCTATTCACGTCCTATGGCAACATTTTTTCCTGGGAGATGTATTTTGAAAAAAAGAGTTAATAAAACTCGGTGTAATGCTATTTATATATCTATATATCTAGCTTCACGTAATGTGATCTTTTAAAGTCTATGCACCAAGAAATAATGATTACGAATAATGGAATAAAAATGATGTAAATCTATGTAACATTTTACATTTTGATGTCTATACTCTGCTATACACGTGAAATGTACAGAAATAGTAAATCACATAAATGCAATGAAGGTAAAAAAAGAATGAAACATAATTGGTCTTTAGATGTAAAAAATATACGTGGGAATAAAAACATCTATTTACAATGGTGTTTGCTAAATAGTTTGTCTACTATAAGGTAGTTATTTATCACAGCAGCACTTCATCTGTGCAGCAATTATCTATGTAAGTGAGAGTCGAAAAATCTTTTTTTCTGTACGTGAAGCGATACACCCCTCCCTCCTCCTTTCTTTTAAATTTCTTTATAACCTACGAAAGACACGTGTGAAACTTCGTTTCATTTAGTCCCGAGGAATCCTAGAAAAAGTACTGCTCTTCTTGACGTTATTAAAAGTATATATATTTTTAGGTCATATTCCAAGGTAACTGCAGAAAATAAATGCTCCACAGATACTCAGAATGATCAATATGATAACAAACCAGAATGGCAGTGTATCTGTAACACAGAGAGAAATATTTAACTATCATCCAATAGGTAAGAACAAAATACATAGAATTACTTGATCACTTACGTCTAAACGGTATGCTGTGTATGCAAATTTTGTTATCCACAGAAATGCTAACGACCGCAGTTTCAGTGTTACTAACAATCGCGGGGCCATCTAGTTTAGTTGGTAAGAATTCTAGGCCAGTCACAAACATACTATGTGCTCCAGGTACATGCAAAGCTCTCCTTAAACTGAACGCAACAAATATGTCCACGCTACCAGAGAACATTGTTCCAACAGCTACAAATTTTCCATCGTCCGACACCGCTAAAGCCGACAAGGTCTCTTTGTATGGAACAGCCTTAATGATACTTCCAGAATCAATGTCCCACAATTGCAGGAAGCTAGGATTCTTCCCAACTACTGCATTAGACAAAGTAAAAAGTTGTGTTTTCGATTTACTCTCCTCTAGCTTTCTAAACCTGCATCTTTTGTACATATATTTCAGTCCACTTGGAGGTGTCCATGTTAGTTCCTTGAGCTTTAAACCGTTATTCACATTCCACAGAATAGTCTTGCCATCCTTTGCTATGCTTGCAATCAATGCTCCATCTGGACTAAAGTCTATATCATCAATTTCTTTTGAATGAACATCTAAATCATGCAGTTTGTGTAATTGTGGGAATTTCCATAATCTGACATGACCATCTGTTCCACCAGTAGCCATCAGCTTTCCATTTAAACTTATTCTGACAATCCTTTGAAGAGGCTCCTCTTTACTGTAACAAATAATCCATTAGGATATAGTATTGTTTATTAGCATATGATAATAGTTACCTAAAATCAGTTTGTACACTGTCTGCTGGTTTCACAATCAACTGCAATTTTTTACTCCTTATATTTGAATTGTCATCCTTAATTTCTTCTATCCTCTCCTTTGAAATAATATTTTCCACTACTTCACCCGAGCGTTTTCTATGCCTTAAGCGTTTCTTACCCTTAAGGTTACCATTATCATTACCATCGTTATCATTGTCTTCTTTAATTATCTCTTCATTTTTTATAGTCACCACCTTACTATTTACATTATAAAGCTGACAATGGCTTTCCTGACCAGCTGCGATCCATGTTCTTTTCCCATCATTGTATGTTGTGCAATTCATAACTACACTAGGACCTGTTTCATGTCTAGTAACCTCTTCAGCAATAAACTGATATCCATTGTGAGACAACTCAAATATTTCCTACGGATGAATAACCATTTAATTTAAATAATCTCTGACATAGAGAGGAGAATTTTATTAAAAAACTCACAAATCCATTAGCTACTCCTGTCTTAGAGGAACCTCCACCACCGCCGACAAGAATATGCCTGCTGGTGAGCATTTGCAACGTGTACAAAGGAAAATTCACTCTGGCCAGGAGGCCACAGTTGTTTCTCCTCGGAGGCATGCTAATTCGAACAATTGCTATGCCGTCGTCAAGATTCCCGCTTTCGTCACAGTCGTATAGACAGGTGTCTATTGATAGCCGAGGACCGTGACTGGGCTAGAAAACCAGGCTCTCGTCGAGTTTCTTCTCCATCATGTAGCAAAACTTTTGCTTTTAGCGACCATCCTCTAACATTATAGCCGTGTTTTAACACCACCACCGACTCTAAACTTTCGCGACAACAGCAATGAACACGTATTCAGTCTCATACCAATGATTACAGGTACAAAAAAGCTGGATATACCCTTATTCTCAGAAGACATTAATTTAGGGGGTTCCAGACACCCCCAGGTAAGGTTAGATCTGCATATATATACGAGTGACTACAGATCTATACTTCAGTGTCGTTATATTTTCCCGAAGAGTGGTTTTACCGCAATTCGCCGGCGGAGACGTAGTGTATAGGATTGTGTTTCGTTTCTAATTCTAATTAATAACACAACTTCATTTTTTTCGTACCGGTCGTTTTTTATTTGACAAGAATGTCTTCTAAACCTGCGTTTAAAGTGGGTAAGTCATAAAATCATGAATAAATTCTGAGGTACATTAGTCAGACACGTGGTCGTTTTTTTTGGAGTACAATACATAAGCCTTAATAACTGTTACTTCATAAAATACGTAAGGATTTAGAGACAGATTAGAAAGACAAATTACAAAGAAAACGTTAAAAGGTTGTATCAAACAAATTTAAATACAGGTTTCAATTGAAAGAAACCTGATACAATGATAAATGAAGATTAACCTACGCGATCACGCGAGTTTGTTAAAGCGAAATCATTTTTTAAAATACATATCGATATTGGCTTTAGCTAATATCGATATCACATAGTAAAAAATAACAAAAGAACGGTTATTTCGAATCGAACGAAACAATTGAAAATGTGTCATAAGCCACTGATATATGATATATGATATAAATTCAAATCATTGTTATGAAATAATTTTCTTATAAAATGTAGTACGTGTTACATGTATAGCATGCCGTATGTTATAGTAATTAAATATAATTAAAAACGTAAATTATACGTCGGTATATTTACAAACAAAGTAACAACGTTAAAATTGATCTGAAATTAATAAATAATTTTCTGTTAATCGTAGCTGATTTGTCATTGGCGGAATGGGGGCGAAAAGAAATCACTTTGGCCGAGAATGAAATGCCAGGACTAATGGCTATCAGGAAGAAATATGGCCCTGAAAAAATTTTAAAAGGCTCACGAATTGCCGGCTGTCTTCATATGACAGTGCAGACCGCGGTTCTCATCGAAACTCTCGTTGAACTTGGCGCCGAGGTAAGTTGATTCGTTTTCAAATATTTTAAATCTCCATTTGTATCCGATGATTCTAAAATTTCCGCGCCCAACTTTCATTGATATGATTTCGATTAATCGTTCGATTCAAATTACGAAAGTATCTTTGCGAATAAACGTTGTTTATTTCTGATAAGGAGAATGGTACTTCTTGGAAAAATATTCCCAACTTTTTCCTTTGAATCTATAATAAAATAAACGTGGGTCAGGATTCCTCCACGAAGAGTTTCATAAAAAAAAAATATTTATGTGGTTTGAGAAATGGTGCAGGGAAAAGAAATGATATAAATAATTCGTGTAGATGAAATCTTATCTCGTAGGATCATGACCTTGCATCTTTCTCAAGACTTCCACGTAATTGTATCGAGCATTGAAAGAGTTTGAAATCTTTTTTCAAATAGAAATCTACATTTGATAAAGCAAGACGAATATTTCTGATAGTTCATTGTAATACAATGTATTATTTGTCCAAAATAAAGAATAAAAAATCTCTAAGAATCCAGAATTCTTAGACTCGTTATACAAGTAATTAAAAACCATAGAAACCAGCAACTCAGGACCAAGCAACTTCCCAAGTCCCAACATCATACAAGCATCTATTGCCAACATATTGCTTATACATTTGAAATACATGATGCAAATCTAACAGAGGTCATCGTCATTACTGATACGTTATCGCTGCTTAACTAGGTGCAATGGTCGTCGTGCAACATATTCAGCACCCAAGATCATGCGGCTGCCGCTATCGCAAAAACAGGGGTCCCTGTGTACGCGTGGAAGGGTGAAACCGACGATGAATACCTATGGTGTATAGAGCAAACCCTTGTCTTCAAGGACGGTCAACCGTTGAATTTGATCCTCGACGATGGCGGTGACCTGACCAATTTAGTTCACACCAAGTTCCCGCAGTACTTGAAAGACTGTCGAGGAATTTCTGAAGAGACCACCACAGGTGTACACAATCTGTACCGTATGTTGAAAGAAGGCACACTAAAGGTCCCAGCGATAAACGTAAACGACTCGGTAACAAAGGTTCGTCATACACATCCGCATCCTGGTTAAATCCTTGCCAAGTCTTGGAACTTATATGAATTATGATTTTCGTTTGTTGCAGAGTAAGTTTGACAATTTGTACGGATGCAGAGAGTCGTTGATCGACGGCATTAAGCGTGCAACAGATATCATGATCGCTGGAAAGGTCTGCGTGGTAGCTGGATACGGAGATGTTGGGAAGGGTTGTGCTCAAAGCCTCCGAGCACTCGGTGGACGCGTCATCATCACGGAAGTTGATCCCATTAACGCGTTACAAGCAGCCATGGAAGGATACGAGGTGATGCTTAATGCTTTCAGACTTAAAAAGAACCAGAAATCTCCGTCGAACATTTTAGTGAAAAGATTATGAATCTTTTTAGGTGACAACAATGGAAGAAGCGTCAACTAAAGGACAGATATATGTTACCACCACAGGCTGCAAAAACATCATAATGGGCCAACACTTTGTGAACATGCCAGAGGATGCTATCGTTTGTAATATCGGTCACTTTGACTGCGAGATAGATGTTATGTGGCTGGAGAAAAACAGGGTCGAGAAAGTGAACATCAAGCCACAAGTAGATAGATACACATTGAAAAATGGAAGGTGGGCGATGAACATGTTTTAATTGTTCATATTTATATTTTAAAGAGCTGTTAAATTTCTGTAAAATCATTTAAACAGAACAGGTGCTCTGTCGTTTTAGTTTCACATTTGATTCTCCCATTTCAGACACGTCATTCTCCTCGCAGAGGGCCGTTTAGTTAATCTTGGATGCGCGACTGGACACTCCAGTTTCGTAATGAGCAACTCGTTCACAAATCAAGTTTTAGCACAAATAGAACTGTGGACAAAGTCGGAATCTTATCCGGTCGGTGTTTACATGCTGCCAAAGAAATTGGACGAAGAGGTTGCAGCATTGCATTTGAATCATCTTGGCGTGAAATTAACAAAATTAACAGATGATCAAAGCAAATATCTTGGCGTACCTGTAGAAGGACCTTACAAGCCGGAGCATTACCGATATTAATCACTGAAAATCCGATGGCTTAGATGTACTTCCACCTATGTTATGTAATGGACAGAATTAAAATGTGGCAATGATAGTGTTTTATTTCACATGGTCGATTGTTGATCTGTTAGGTATTCATTTATTAATGTCATTCGAGTGTCAAGTGTTCCCTCAGATTTATTGACGCCAACGCCAGAACTGTATTTTGTAGTATTACTTCTTTTTAATCTCCACAAACTTGAATGGTTGCAGCTATCGCTTTTAAATAAACTTGTTTACGAATTAATTTTATTGAAATGGAACAGAAACTTGCCATACCTCCGTTAGAAGTTAAAGCCTCAATAAAGGTAACGTTATCTAATATAAATTTTTAACATTTTTTCATGTGTGTGGAATAATTCATACTTTCAGCTAGTTAGATGGGTGTGCTTAGTTAGTGGTATAATTTATGGTATCGTTAAGAAGAGAGAGTATGGCGCGATAGAAAAAGTATTACGAGAAGAAGAAGAAAGAGAAAGACCGGAAAGAGAAGCCCGTGAACTTCGTGAAAAGCTTCGACGTAACGCTGGTATATTTTTCTATATTTATAACATACATAATGCATTTTGCGTGCTTGTATTCACTTTGCAGCTGAAATGAGAGAATTGGAAAGAATATTTTTCGGGACATCTTCAACTGAAACGGAAGAAAAACCCAATGAAACACCATGCGATGAAACTATAACTTCAAAGGATAATAGTTCAACATTAAATGATAAAAAAAAAGAAACAGTTATTTCTCTAAACAATAAATCGGAAGAAACAAATGATAAAGTAGTTTCAAAAGATAAATCAGAAGCAGTTAAATTGGAAGAAACAAGTGATAAAATAATTTCAAAAGATGAATCAGAAGAAGCAGTTACTTCTTTAAACAAAAAGTAATGTAAAAGATGAGTTCATGAAGTTAACGAGGAATGAAATAAAGCCTCAAAGTTGCAACAGTTCTTTAAAAAAAACGTTTATTATCATCTTATAACATTCATTATGTATCGTCGCGATTATGTATGTACACTTTTCGTCTCTTTTATTTACAGTTTTAAGAGGGTAGAACTTTCTTGCAAGCAATAACATCCACAGCCAGTTGGGCACAGTGTTTCACTAGTAAACCATTTTGCTAAATGCTGTGTGTGTCCTCCGTGTCCGCAAAAAATACAGAAGTTACTTGGACCTAATGGATAGAATGTATGATTTTTAAGTGAATTCTTTCGCAAAAAAAAAAATGTTAAACATTTACAATTAAAACTCAACATACCTCTCACAGAAATATGACAAATTACACATTCCAAAGCTAATCGTTTACAACTTATACACTGAGGTCCTCTGCTAACTTTGCCACATATTTGACATTCGCTTTGAAATTCAACACCTTTGTGCGTGTCCAAAGGAGTTGCACTCACGTGTTTTAATACTTGTGCACGTGCATCCAATAGTCGCCATCTGTGTAATACCTCTGCATACGCTTTCTTGTATCCGTCATAAAGAGTAGTATATTTTTCATCAAGTAATCTGCAATATTAGATTGTTGATTCATACTTGTATAGTGGAATAGGGTTTAAATCGTATACCTCATATGTTTCACGGAATCCCTGAACGTATCTTGGATTAATTTTAAATCATCGAGTGAATCGGACCACGAGTTGGATCGATGTTGTTTCAGATTTTGAAAATTCCATCCTTCCAATGTGGTATCGGCTAAGTGAATTGTATGATATGGCGAACCACCAGGCTAAAAAGATACATAGAGCATAGTATATTATAGCTCGACGTACAAAAGTTGCATTAACATAATGAACATAAGATACATAATTGGTAAGATGAATGATATTATGTCTCTGATCACTTTCTGCGCAAAGATGTTTGTCTTCTGTGTAAAATTGAAACATTATCATAACAAACAGTACATCACATACAGTTAGTTACTACAAATGTTACTACTACTAATATCGTTAGTCATAATATTATAAGACAGTTAGGTAAAAATATTGAAAAGTTTGGCATCTTAAAATCAGGCATGGCCAAACCTGCATGCTTTGTGGCATCACGACACTTCCACTCCGATGCTGTAAGGCAGTAACAAATATCATGATGATAAGTGAACCCTAAGAACCAAACATTTCCAACACGTACAAACTTAGAAAATTCGGAAATCATGCCTTACCTTCAACCACCACTTTCCTGTAGAAAGCCTCTATAACAAAGATAACATTATATCAATTATCTGGTGATTTTGAAAGATTTTTAAAGAGAGTAATGAAATGAAACAACGGATGCAGATTACGTCGGTCTTGTATGACGTTTCAATTTCAAATTATCATCCGTGATCCTTTAAATTTATTGTAAATTGCGCATACAATACCGTCGTCTTGCAAAATATCGTATATATGTACATATTTTTAATTATTTCTCATGCGCTAAAAGAGGTGCGTGCTGAGTATAAAAGATGTGATATACTGCAATTCGAATAGGCTAACATCGAAACACGAATAAATGATTATATTTAAGAAGTAACCTTGAATATTGATATGTTCAACATGTTTTATTAACAGAAGACAAATGATCAAGACATTTAACATATTAGTTATCAATGATACTATAAAAATAGTGCTCGTGCTAGACCATGCTAGAACTCAACACTCACGTACGAATGTAACATACTTACACTGACATTAATAGACTTGCTACTTAGCCGTGTTTGAGATATATCTGAGTTTTCCGAACGATAACTAAATGCACAACTCAGCATACCTGCCATTTGAATGTCTGACTGATTGGCATAATGCTGTATTCTAAAATAAATGATATTATACGTGTTATATTATGTACAATAATATGAATAATTTATTCATTACTTACAAGGAATGAATTAAATTTTGGCCAAAAGGATGTAAAGGCCATGGGGCATCAAGATCAATCATGGGTAGCAGTGACTGGCAAGCATTTTGTCCAACGTTTGCAACCGGTTGTGATATAACAAGGGCAGCTAAACACCATGCTTGAACTAAATCAGGACGTTCTAGTGCCGCAGCAACATTTGCATTATATTGGCACATTGCTGGGATATCAGTGATATTAATGCTACGCATCATAAAAGATTATTTAACGAAAAAAATATATAGCAATTGAATGTAAAAAATAGAAGCACTTGTTGCACTTACACATATTTTTCAGCAAGCTCTTTGTTAACAAAAAATAACGACGAAGCGTCGTATATTATTACCATAAAATGATAATTTTTACAACATGACCTGTAGGTCATTCTATTCGTATTGTGTAATCCTCGACTTATTTTCTGTGAATTCAAAACGTTTACTCTTTGTTAAGGAACATCTATAAAAATACTTTCATGATCTTCATCAAAGTACTTCGACTTACACGATCTTGAAAATAAAACGAACTTATAGGAATGTTATCATTCGACTGTACATAGGAATTCGAATACATATGCAAAAAATGTTCTCCATTGCCAATACCATTTCCTAACGCAGATAGTGCTCTAGGTGTTGTACTCTCGGGTTTCATTGACGATCTTCTGGTATACGAGGCACGACCAAAGCATACGAGGATTCCTATCGAAACACTGAATTGAGTTCCAGTACACGAATGATTTGATAATTTTTAAGATTTCTTTACATACCCACACAACAAAATTTAGCACCAGATGTTCTAGGAAACGGTATATAGGCATCCCGATAATTGGTATATATATTAGAGGAACCTAAGAAATTTGCGTTATCTTGGATATCGTATCCTAAGTGACTGCTTTCATTCTCGTCTTTTTTACATGTCTATAAAAACAAAACAAAATTATTATCTAAGACGAAAATGAATGATACGATGAAAAATAAGTTTTCTCTTTACTTGCTCTAAGGTTGTAATTAATTGTCTAAGACATGGTTCCAAACAAGATCTATTCTTTTTAACACGCTGCTGGGCAGTTTGTTTTAAAACTTTTAATAATTTCGTCATTGTTGTATTATCAATTGTTGTCCCAGGACAAAATTGAAATGTAGGTTGTGCACTGTACGGATAATTCGGTGGAAAATTTACTTTTAATATCACATTATAACTTTTGTTGGATGCTGTTACGGTACAACTACGTTCTACAGCATCCATTTCATTGACCTAAAACAGTAAGGATATTTATTCTCCAATATTTCTATCTTTATTATTATATATCACCTCTATATTTGGTATGTTCATATTTATTAAAGAAAATTCTTGCTGCAATGTCTTTGGTTGTGTAGGGGAAGATATTTCTTTATTATTCTCGATATATGTATCTGCTTCGGAATTCAATATCGGTTCATCCACTTTTGTTGTTATACAATTCACTTCGCGATCATTTTGAGTGTCGTTCAGTTGTAATTGTTGGACGGATTGCAATGCTCCTAAATTAAGAATACACATTAAATAACGAAACTAAATATGTATTATATTTATGAGCGTAACGTACGTACTTAAATTATTATCTTCAGAATACTGAGTATAAATAGATGTATTATCGTCTATACCGTGTCCACATAACTGAAATAGGATTGTTTAAAGTATTTTTATACAAGCAATAGGTACACTTTATTATGTAACTTATGCATATGTACCTACTTTCTTCAAGAAAGGATCAATTTTATATATTCTTAAACATTGATCTTTTGACCAAGTAATTAGTTCAAAATCACTATTTTCTGTAAATTATAAAAATATTTAATAATATCTGGCATTCCAGATAAAGGTTTATTTATAAAAAGTATACCTAATTTTTGGTGCCTCCACTGAAATTCAAGAACAACATCAGTATGCCCTACAAAAGTATAAATAGGTGCACTGAGGTTTGTTATGTTCCATAACAATAGACTATTTTCTCCTCGTCGTAATTGCGGAACTACTATTGTTACCAATCCCTCTCCAAATGGCTGTGGATAGCTTAAGTTTTATAATCAAAAACAAACTTAGACTTTACTAAATACAATGTTATTTTTACCGTATATCTAGCTCTCCATACTGGTGAGTTTGTTGTTAAAATACTCTCGGCTCTCCGTGGATTACTGATATCGAAGATTTTCACTGTACAATCTTGACTAGAAGTTGCTAATTGATTTTGTTGAAATGGACACCAATCTAAACCATGTATCTAAAATAACTTTGGTGTTTATAAAAATCTCGTTAAACTTATATAGATTATTAAAGTAAACAATTATTATGATGATGTTAAATAAAACAGTAATATTCACTTTTGTTAAGTGAGCAGCTATATACTGCATAGGGCTATTTCCTTTTCGTTGATCCCATATTTTAATGTCCCCATCATGGGCTGTAGCTAACATATTGGGAGATAAAGCATTCCATCTTACTTGAGAAGAACCAGCTGTAACACATTCAATCAGTTATCTCCAAATGACCATAAAACAAATTTTCTCAACATTTTTATAATTTTCTTCAAGTATATTTACCTACTGCAGACAAAGATAAACAAGGCCTTCTTTGATCTCTTACATCCCAAATATGTATGAATGTATCAATGCTACAAGAAGCAATAATATCTGGTTCCTTGGGATGCCAGTTTAAGTCGCTTACCACTCTTGTGTGTGCTTTAAGACTATTTGTTGTATGTAAATCACAACAGCCAACTCCATTAAGTGCTAATATTTCAATACGCGTGTTACTCTAAAATCAAAGTTTAAATAAACATATCTACAACATACGCTTAAAGCATATAGTTCTCAGTTTCTAACCGATACAGCACACAGATGAGAATTTGTACTTGTAGGATTCCATTCTGCTGAGCCAACTTCGTACTTGCTTTGTCTTTGAAATTTTTTTAAAGTATCAGCACCTTCATCTAGATGTTTTACTGCGAAATACCGACGTCTACAAACACACAAGAAAAACATCAAAATAAAGTCAGACATATTAAAAATAAAAAGCTGTACATAGTAAACAGTGTTCGGTATTTAGGATTTCTTACCCAGCAAGTAACACATAATTGCCAGTCGCATCCACGGCCATAGTATTAGCCTACGAATGATAAAGATATTTGTATAATTAAGAACAATCAATTATTATGATGAATAAAAGAGGTACAAACTATTTCATAGCTCTAACATAGGAATGTACTAATATTTTATGAAACGATGTACCTGTAAATCGCGGTGCTCCGTGACCACATAGTCGCTGCCCCAACGTTTTGACATTTTACCAATAAGTTCGAATTCCTGTCAACATTCTGCGAGATTAAAATTAAACCAAATAACGGGCTCGGATACAGAATCAAATTGTATGCGCGACATGCAACCATAAACACATTCAAAGGCGCATACGTGATATATTGCATTGCGTTCCGTTCATACACATTCTTATTCGTGATTCTCTATTGGTCGGACAAAATTCATGTACTTATCCCCCCTACGAAACAAATGGCGGCAAGGGGATACAGACAGAAGGGGGACAAGATAAATAGAGTAAAAGAGATAGAAAGAGAATCAAAGAGAGAGAGAGAGAAGTTAAGACGCTTCGCTGTGCTATTTCTGTCACGCATATATTCGTTGTTGCATATAGGTGTACTAACATCGCGAACGCAAATAATTAGTAAACGGTGTGAAACAGGAGTAAGAAAAGGGTTGAAGTTTATATATATTTCATTATTACATCGAAGTTTAATCAAATTTTGGGTGCGTTTCTTTGACAGTGATCGTGATACTTTAAGTGATAGTGACAACAATGTCCGTGATTATGGATTGTTTTTGTCAGTAGCGGACGTGTTAAGATTGTTTATCGCTTTGTTTAGCTGACTTCTGATAAAGGATTTTGATCTATCGTTTTTTCTAATCTTCGTGGAACGTTCGTCAGCAACTTTCTGTTTAGCGGGAGTTTTTGATCGAAAGAAACGGTGTCTTTTGTTTCTCAAGGGTAGTCTATCCCGTCCTTTACACCGTTACCCTCTCTTTACGCTTGCACGTCACTCGGGCAGTGCAAGAAAGTAAAACTCGTCACGGCCTAAAGGTTTAATTCTAAGGACCGATTACTGAAATCGGGACTAGACACACAGACGGTAAATTCGTCTCGATATCTTTAATTAGAGATCTGTGATGTACAAGTTCGGCGCCGCGGGAAAAATCATTACGTCCACGATTAATTTCGTACACTCAAAAAGGAAAGGAATTTTCATATACATAAAAAAAATGTACAAAGACTCAATAAGTCTTCGAAGTCGTAGAAATTTTTTAACTTTTCGATTGTATTGAACTATCTTGGCCGTGCGACTGAGAAACGAGGCCAAGTTTTGTCAAGAAATATACGCTAAAGGTCATCAACTCCTGTGTAACGTAATGGGGTATTAATGACAAGAGCGTTCCAATAGGAGATGCACCAAGAGTACCCAGTACAGAGACGCTGTTTTTATCTGACATAAAGGAAAAACCACTGTTCTTGACAAGATGAAGTTGCTCGAAAGTACACGTTTTGAAGCTATAAACAGTGCCTTGTCCATCAAAACTGGAGACAGCAAAATAATAGGCAGGTGAGACGGTTGGATCGACATGCCCGATGGATTTATTCTGAGACCTGTTGCAATAATAAATATCAAATTTATTATGATTTTCAGAATAGAGAGTTACTCTTGCAAAATGGCTGGAAATGACAAACAGCTGTATAAACGTTTCAATGCTGAACAAGGTTTTACTCCGCATGATCTTCAAGCCCTCTCACCACCACAAACATCCTTGGGAACATCACCTGCTCAAGGATACTTTAGGTATTAACACTTTGTTTGAATGTAAATCAGTTATAAACACATGGAAAAGAATACTATCCTTTCATTTGTATGAAATAAAATGTAATATTATAACAAAAAAAAAAACATTATTCCTTATCGTAAGATGTCTATATTGACTTTCTGATAATTTCAGTTACCTGTACATTCATTTAATAACAATTTTTCTGTATAGCCGTAGTGTATCTGGTGATGAAGATGGCCCACTATGTGACACAATCAGTAGAAAAACATTGTTCTATTTGATTGCCACTTTGAATTCAGCTTTCCATCCAGATTATGATTTCTCTGATGCTAAGAGCCACGAGTTCAGTAAAGAACCAAGCTTACAATGGGTGATGAATGCTGTAGACAGTAATTTAAGTGCAACTGCAGGAGACCACTATCGCACTCTTCGAACAGCGCTTTGGGCTGCTATCGATGATGAAATATCATTAAGTGAATGTGATATTTATAGGTATATACTTAATTAAAACAATAACGTACAGGACATACTAAATAAACTAAAAATATGAAAACGTTTTAGTTATAATCCAGACTTTGCATCGGATCCGTTTGGAGAAGATGGATGTTTGTGGTCATTTAATTATTTCTTCTACAATAAGAAATTAAAACGCATTGTGTTTTTTCCGTGCAGAGCAATAAAGTAAGCATGTTCGTTGCTTAGGTCTCTGTTTCTTCATGTGCCGTTTTAAAATTTTCTTTTTATCTTTTACAGTCCTCTCTATGTACTAGATTCTGGAGTCGGCAGTGATTTTGCCATGGATGAAGATGAAGAGAGATACTAAATTTATAATACGCGTTTACAAACTTTATCATCATCTTTATTAGTTTTGCCATATAAAGGCATAAATGAACATTGAGTTTCACCTATTACATATTATGTACAATCGTACTTCTCAACTTTCATGTTTGTATACAGTGATATTTGTTTGAAATTCCACTTGTAATAGAAAATTGTATTGTTTTCCTTCTTAGCCTTCAGTATAGTATACAAGTTTAGTTACAGTCAACAAAGAATGAAATAGAAGAGTAAGTTTGGAAGATATCAAAATCATATCTTTTCTTTGCAAATTTATCATTTATACATATATATATATATATATGTATGTATGTATATATATTACTATTCAATATATTTTAAGGATATAAATCAGCTACATATTAACCGAATTTGGTAAGTTGAAGAATTTCATAGATTTTTTTTCCGTGTGACATAAATATTCATATTTAAAATATCTGTGAAAATCTCCTTACTATTTAAATATAAAAGCAACAACAAACTTAGTGGGTTTTTAAATTGATGTTGTACTAAGTTATTCTCTTAGATTTCTGTTCAATTATTATGGCAATAAGAGTAAAACTAAAGCATTTCTAATCCATATTATAAAATGGGAGTACAAAATCATTAGAGCAATAGTAGATTTAAAAGTGCAGCATTAACTTCTGAATCCTAGTCATATTTTTAAGTTACAAAAGATTTGTTAGCTATTTGTGCTTTTTACAGGAAAAGTCGGTCACGAAATGTTTTTGACGTATTTATAATCTTTTAATATAAAACTACATTCTTCCATGTTTCATATGCATGTATCATTTTTAATAGATTTCCACGAATATAATTTGTGTATTGACACGATAAATATTCATTTTTGTGAATTATCATGATTTTCAATCGATCTATTGAAGTAATCTCAAATAAATTTATAAAAAGATATAGTATGTAAATTTTACGTATACATAGTAGATTTTCTTAGAACTTCGATATAGAATGAAATTTAATTTTATGTTACTGATGAATATATACATCTATATATACATATATAACTATGAATGACAAAATAAACCAGTATGCTCGAATTTTAGATTACTAGGTTTTGATTAAAAACAGTAATTTTCAAGTGATTTGTATAATATACATATAATTTTAGTTTCCTTAACACTGCACGTTTTCAGCAGCATTTGAATTAACTTTACATGTCAACATAATTCAACGCTATACGATTTTTGTCTTTACTTCTTTAAAAACAGATGTATTTACTATATAGAAATTAGCTTTACCGGATTAGCTTGTGTACATTAAATAAATAATAAATCAACAAGCACAAACGTATGCCTATGCTTATAAACCTAACTTACCTAAAATATCAGGCAATTCGACTTATTTGTACATCATAACATCAGGGGACTGATACATGCACATGTATGCATCGCATAAAAGTCTTTTTGCATGCTCTGGTAGGTGACGATCGTCTGTTAATTCGGTTAGATAATTTCCACCTTCATCGCTTAACCAATATGGAAAGTCGGGACACGGGACCATTTCCGGTATATTGTAACCATTTTGTTCTCCTAAAGAGAGATAGAAAAGAAAGTATAATTAACATTTAAGTATAATTAAGTTAGAATAGAGGATAAATACCTTTTCTATCGGCCATTGAATCAAAGAAACACCATGGTGCTTCTGACCCGGAACCGCATTTTACGAAACATACGTAGTGTGATGTTTCAATGCACACTACTGCTGATAATTCGAGATACAACCTCGGAACAGGACAATGTTCTTGTAAAATGGTAAATTCCATTGGTACTACAAGCTTCTTTGGTTCATGATTTGTTCTCCTTTCATGACGATGTACCTATAAAAACAGATCATCAAAATATTTCTATATTATAATTTTGTATTTTAACACACATATTTAGTTCACCTTTTCCAAACATTGCAAACAAAATGCAATGCTTTCGAGTCCAACACCGCATTCCCCATAACATTCTTTGCATTCAAATTCTGCTAATTTTCCACAAACAGTACATTGTCTAGGAGCTATAAATATTAAATAAGGCAACCACGGCATTATCAACATAATTAATCAATAATAATATTTCAATGGTACTTACAATCTTCAATTATGTCTGTTACGTCAAGTAGTAGGGTAGGTTGAATTTTTGGATACATTTTAAATGACTTTCCAAATCGAGGCATTTGTATAATAAGACATGAAGGAACTTCTTTTAACCTTATATTACTCGTAAGGAAACTCTGTTCTAGTAATTGTTGCACCGTTGGAAGATTTAAATGATCGTCTTTTTCAACGAACAGTTGATAATGATATGCATCTTGCCCGGAACTTAGTTTCAGAAATGGTTCGGCGTTTAAAATCTGAGCAACCAGAGATGTTAAGAACTCTTCAGGATCTAAAAATGTTACAAGTAAATTTTAGTTTAATTAAAAAGTATCTATCGTGGAAACATATTTCCAAAACAAACCTTTTTCTTCACTGGTAAGCCCAGATACCGATGACAATTTCTCGAGCAAAGTTCGTAGTTTCATTACGCGATCAGCTCTAACAAACATATTTTTTCTAAGTGGATTTACAATTTCTTCACGTAATACCCGTTGCACTTCTTCATATTGCAGGCAGTCTTTTTCATTTGGCGGTCTGAAAAAAAAATATTTTATAAAAAAAGAAAACTTATAAAAATAATAACAACTAAACAATGTTTAATTACCTAAATAAGAGATTATCGAAAACGCTAGTAAATGTAAACATGCTAAAAAGAGTAGCATCTAAATAGCATGAATTATGATGACCTTGAATCCCTCGGTATTTTCCGCAAATACTTTCCAAATTTCCTTTCACCGAAATAGGACGTACCATACCGACAATTACAGAGCTTTCCATATTTCCGAAATTATCTGAAACTGATGCTGTTGAATCGTCAATTTTCGTCTGTAACAGTACACGTTTTGTTACACATTTTTTTGTAGATATAGAAAGTAATACATGGCATATATTTACCATTCTATCATAATGAGAACATTGTTCAAGATCTGTAAAAACAGCTCTGTAAGGTCGACAGCGAAAATATCTTACATCTTTATATGTTCCATCGGTACCCGATGGATGGTTGTCATCCTAAAATTAGGATAATTAGATCTTGCTTTTTGTTATTTAAATTGTATGTGCACACACCAGTTCCACAGCTGCCATTAGTTTGCCAGGAGTAATACCAGGAGGTGTTCCAATCCAACGGATAACTCCATAGCGTACATCAGAATCCAGAAGCACCTTCACATTCGAACCCACAATTAAGTCTGTATTTTCTACATGTCCAAATTTCTTATTTTCATTTCTTTCAGGTGTATTACCTATTATAGTAGTTGAAATGAAATTAATACGAGAGGAATTTGCATAGACATGTAATAGCGATATGAAACATGGAAAAAATAGTGTAATGCAATGTGACAGACTATATAAACAGAAAGTGCAATGAAAGTGCAGTGAGACTTGTGAATGTCTACTATTCCTTACTACAATCCAGTGGATTTATATCTTCAAAAGTTTCTTCAATATCACTGTACACATTCGATTCAATATCACTGCTCCATTTGTGTTCTAATACAAAGATAGGAATGTTTTGCAATGCAGCAGCCATTTTACAATAAAATTATGATAAATTTACAACACAGAAGGCTTGCCGGTAACACTGAGAGAGGCTCAGAGTTGTGGCTATTTTTAACCACCTCAGTTATTCTTAACTCCCTCCACTGCATGGGTAAAGCCAAGCATACTATGTGGGACTTTTAGGAAAGCTAGCAAAAGTCAGAAAGAAGCCAAGCTTTATTTTTATATTTTTACTATTACCATGGATATTTGTATTTTTAGTTACACTGCTATCATTTTCAAGTGCCATTGATTTTACTGACTGAAGATACTCCTTTGACAGGGATCGTTGATCTCTATTATTATTTTTATTGTCATCAAATATGGTGAACCTTTCCAACAATACAGGTGGTGTAGAATCAAGTGCAGATTTCTTTTTATCATTAATACAATTATTTCCTGTATCAGTTTTCACAAATAAACCTGAAATTAAAGATACATTAATAAATTATTGTTCTATAAATTCAAGTATGTAAATAGGATATTTATTTTTGTACTTTTGTCTGTGTTTCCAAGACCTGTAGGACCTTCTGGTTTTAATGGAAAAATGTTACTCAATGTAGCAAATTTTCCATCTGAATGAGTACAAGTAAAGTACTCTTTAATTAATGAGAAAGCTGTTTTGAATGATTCTTGACCTTCCTATAAATATATTTTTATATAACATATTGTTGATACAAAGTATATACATATATTTCACAACAAACAGGTAGCATAACAAAAAATTACCAATAAATCAATCCCAAAATAATATCCTTGGCCAAGTTCTGACACAGGCCCAATGTATTTAATAATTGCTAAATATTTTGTACATCCTTGTGGATTAGGACAATACCAAATGGTATCATTTATCACCAGGTTCATAAGTTCTTCGCACAAATGTTTGTGGTTGGCTAAACGAACCCTTTCTTGAGGTACTGAAACAGCAGGCAGAAATTTCCATACTTCTGATGAGACAGAGATCAGATCAAGTCTGTGACAACGCCATTCAGTGCCATGCCAAATTTCTGATCCTGTCGTATCAATCACTCGAATTCTGAGTGCGCTATCTACCAACTCTTCGACGGCTTCGACAAGCATGCCAAGCCGTAACGTACTGATATTTTGCTCGCACTCTCCTGATATACGCATCAGAATGGTATTTTGTTTCGCCACGTAATATTGGGGGACCTGACGGTCTTCCTTGTTGCTCAAATTCCGTTTCTCCATTATTAATCGTGAATGATCATTATGAAAAAGCGATCCGTCAGCCACAATGTATGCGAAGCACGCGGATAAAACGCAACATTTATTCCAGTCATTGTAGTTTCTTGTATGCTAGTCGAGATCAAATAAATGGAAGTTTTGAATTCATGTTGTTTATTCCCGTATTAAGCTTTCCAAACACTCGATATGTAGAATTATTCAACGAAACATTCATAAATACGCATAAGCATTCACTGACAGTCAAATTCAAGCAGAAGATTACACTTTGTCTGTCAATCCACATAGGGTATTTATTGACGGGAAAGGAAGACAATGATATTGGTAGCATTTCAATTTAGGTTGCATTTGTATTTGGACGAATTACTGAACGTCTGATTTCATTTTATTTCAACTTCTGTTCATCGATAAATCATTACGATTGAGAGTTGAAGAAACATTGAAAAATCTGTAAATTCATTCATTTTGTCGTTTAATAAGAGTAGTACTCAACAAGAGCACCAATAGTCCGTAAACCGAATGAAGTTCCCTACAATTTTCACCTGTTCAATGCCGTAGCAGTGACTACAGACACCACAAGACTGAACATTTGCCCAGTAAGTGACTTCGCATATTAACTATAAATTAATGTGAAATTAAATCGCAATTGAAAAGACAGAATAAGACTGAAAACTTATTAAAATAATTGCTTTACGAACATGTACTTTAAAAAGACCGCTATAAATAAAATATTTTTAAAATTCGATTCTAGCACCATCTGCACAAGAACGGCTGAAACTACTCAACAAGTTACCGACTGATTTTCCACCTACATGAAGCTAGCCGGAAGGAATAATAAAATATGATTATTTTTAATTTTTCTTAGTGTATTTCGTTTATAAATCGTTTGCGATTGATAGTGAGTCTATTTTTAACGTTTGGGACAAATTAGTTTTTCTGTAATTAGCAATTTTATTTCAATCATGATGCGAGCCGAAACTTTTTAGTAATTTTTTATAATAAACAGATTTTGTGATAACTGAAAATTGTAATTGATTGGAAATCGTTTGTGATTTACAAATATATCATTTTCATTGTTTGTGAGTGAATAATTTCTTAATTATTTACAAGTTTGTTTTATAATAAATAGTGTAGTGCGCATGCGTTACAGATCCGGTCGTACCCATCACTATCCCGAACAAGTGAGTTTCACGATTTGTTCGTTTTTAGGTCTTATATTTTGCTAGATCCGGTCGTACCCTTCACTATCCCGAACAAGTGAGTTTTACGATTTGTTCATTTTTCGTTCTTATATTTCGCTAGATCCGGTCAAACCCATCACTGTTCCGAACAAGTGAGTTTCACGATTTGTTCGTTTTTCGTTCTTATATTTCGCTAGATCCGGTCAAATCCATCACTATTCCGAACAAGTGAGTTTCACGATTTGTTCGTTTTTCGTTCTTATATTTCGCTAGTTGCTTCGGGGTTCCTGACACCCCAGGTAGCGTAACATCGGTGTCACGGGTGGTACCTTGGGGTCTCAGACACCCCGAATGCCGTAGTGTTGGTAAGCAAAGAGTGTCATCGGTGCTTCGGGGTCCCTGACACCCCAGGTAGCGTAACATCGGTGTCACCGGTACCTCGGGGTCTCAGACACCCCGAATGCCGCAGTGTCGGTAAGCAAAGAGTGTCATCGGTACTTCGGGGTCCCTGACACCCCGATATCAAAATGTCGGTATGCAAACAGTGTCACCGGTGCATCGGGGTTCCTGACACCCCAAGATGATATGTCGATATGCTGAAATAACCAATGGTGCTTCGGGGTCCCTGGCACCCCTGATGCTATATTATTGGTATGCAAAGATAGTCACCGGCGTTTCGGGGTCCTTAACACCCCAATATGATATCAGGACGGTACGTAGACGGCGTCATTGGCGCAGCGGGGTCCCTAACATCCCTGGATAAAATCAGGTCCGTATGAAGAGGGCACAACCAGTATAATTTTTTTCCACAGTTTATTTAATTTACTTCATTTATTTTTTTTTGCTTATTAAATAAGCTCATCGAAGGCGAATAACATTTATAATTATATTCCTCTTCTGGGTCTCAGCTGAGGACCTCATTTATTTTACTTTTTCCAGTTATTTATATAATTTTATCCCTCATTATAGGCCAAGACTATCTCAGCACCCCTTCCATCCCTGCATTCCTTCCATCCCAGCATTCCTTACATTCCTGTAACCCTTAAATACCCTTTTTTTTTTTTTTTTTTTTAACGTGGTGGAAATCTTCAGAAAGACACCTCCAGTCCCCCTGGGGAGGGGCCGGAGGTAGTGTGGGATTTTTACCCACTAAAACCACCACGGTGGCCTGCACCAGTGTGGTAGGGAGGGTGCTTCGACCCTCCGCCATGTGACAAACTCCGCCGACATCGGGGGCCACACCCGATGCCGGCGCTCTTCGGGCCGCGCGCAGTGGAGACCGGGGCCCCAGCCCCGAACCCCTACGGAATTCCATTACATCCCTCGTTCCGTTACATCTCTGCATCCCTTACATCCCTGCATTCTTTCCATCCCTACATTCTTTTCATCTTTACATTCCTCTCATACCTACATTCATTTCATCCCTATGTTCTTTTCATCCCTATATTCCTTACATCTCTTCATCCCTTAAATCACTACATTATTATCATCCCTACATTCTTTTCATCCGTACATTCTTTTCATCCCTCCACTCTTTTCATCCCTACATTGTTTTCACCCCTACATTCCTTACATTGCTTCATCCCTTACATCCCAACATTCCTTTCACCCCTACATTCCTTTCACCCCTACATTCCTTTCACCCCTACATTCCTTTCATCCCCACATTCCTTTCATCCCTACATTCCTTACATCTCTGCATCCCTTATAATTTATATATATTATAAAGACTGCTTCGAGTAAAGGTAAGTAAAGGTAAGTAAAGGTAAGTTAGTTCCTTTTTTCTAGGGGCGCTATTTTTTTCGAGAATTTCGCGAAAATTTCGAAAAAACAGCGCCCCCTAGCGGCAAAAATGTGAACTACAATCTCGACCTCGAATCAGCGCCATCTGGTTTTTGAAAAAGGAACTAAATCAAGCAGAGATTTTGGCCCTCTAGCGGCAAAAATGTGAACTAAAATCTCGACCTCGAATCAGCGCCACCTGGTTTCGGAAAAAGGAACTAAATCAAGCAGAGATTTTGGCCCTCTGGCGGGAAAAATGTGAACTAAAATTTCGACGTCGAATCAGCGCCACCTGGTTTCGGAAAAAGGAACTAAAGCTTGCTCCATTTCTGGCCCTCTGGCGGGAAAAATGTGAACTAAAATTTCAATGCCGAATCAGCGCCCTCTGGTGGCGAGAAAAGGAACTAAATTTGTAACGATTTCTTACTGGAAAAGATCTTATATAAGGGATATAAGGGATGCAGGAATACAAAGCATGCGAGGATACAGTGAGTGGGAGTAGTCCCTGCAAGTTCAATGAAAAGAATGAAGAAAATAAATAACTGCAAAGGGAAACCTTGGTCCATAAAGAGTAGGAATAGGATAACCAATAACTGGGAAGGGTGGTCCCTGCGAGGCCCATAAAGAGAAATAAAATAATAAATAATTAGGAAGCGTGGATTTGTTCCATAAAGTAAAATAAAATAATTAATAACTGAAAAGGGTGAACTTTAGTCCATAAGGAAGGATAAAATAATACATAACTGGAAAAAGTGAGGCGAGGCTCATAGGGAAGGATAAAATAATAAATAAAAAGGGCGGTCGGCCGAGGCTTAGAAGAGAGATAAAATCATAAATGTTATTCCTCTTTGATGAGCTTGTTAATAAGCGGAGAAAATAAATAAAGTAAATTAAATAAGTAATTAAATAAGTAATTAAATAGTACTTAATTAATAATAATAATAAATAAACTCCGAATAGAAATTAGAAGTATACGTATGTTTGATAGGTTGATCCGCATCCCTCGGCGGTCGCTATAAGACTGAGGAGGTTACACCTCGTTCTAGGTCAAACTTCTCTTATTGGGAAGGAATTACTGTATAATTCTGGTTGTAATTTATTACAGATTAAACAGTTGTTTAAATGATAAATGATATTGAATAACTAAAATGATAGAAGAATTTATGTCAATTAAATAAATAGCAGAGAAAAGAAATTACGAATATTAAATAAATAACTCAGAAATGAAATTGGATAAATTAAATAATAACTCAGTTGCTTTTTTCAAATGATTTATTTACCAAAGTGCATGAAGTGAATACAAGTTTGTCAAACAATTAGAATAATAATTGTTCAGTTTTATGCTGCTTAAAAAAAATAGAATCAAGTGAAGTGAAAATTAGGTCTTTTCAGATATCAGTTTGAGTTGGGGTAAAATAGTGACTGGTAAAACAGGCACGATTATCATACTGGCTGTGCTCTCTGCATGCAGATCTAATCTCATCTGGGGTGTCTGGGATCCCCTAAATCATGACTCTTGAAAACAAAGACATGTCCAGTCTTCTACATCTGTAGTCACTGAGTCAAATTTGCAGTCACACAGGCGCTGCTAGCGGAAAACAATAGTGCTCTCTATTGAAACGGAGCTGAAGCTACTTGTCGATTTATTGATCGATTCAGTTTTATCTGGTTTGGAAAAATCGATCGATAAGTTGTTGAGTAGTTTCCGCTGGTTTTGTATAGATAGCGCAATGGTCGAATTACTGATCAGAACTCTTAAAAATATTTAATTTTAGAACTTTGTAATTAAAACTGTTGTCAAATAAAGGCTTTATAGCGAATCCTGAGATATCTTTTGATTTTATATTAAACCACTCTTTATAGCTATTAGTTTCAGCATCCATAGATAATGGAATCTATAGAACTAATCCAAGTACTTATCATTCTCATAAGCCAACATTCCCTCCTCGAACAGGGTATAAACTATTGCTGCATAATTAGCTAGACGCTGCTCCCTAAATTAAATGTACTTTATTACCCGATTCCTGAGAAACTATGAACAAAGTATAAAATTTATAGGAAACAGTTCAGTTGGCATATCATCCAATAGAAAAACAGACTATTTCTTAGTTTACAATGCTCATACATGTGACCATGTAAGTACATGCATATGTGTATATAGATGGTGTTCGCAAAATGCATTTGTAGAAATAATGGCTGACTAGTGGCTGTAATCGCACACAGAAGCAAGCAATTGTGCGGATTTCATTCGTAATTTGAGTGAAACAAAGTTTTGCTTTGTATTAAAGTAAACAGTAAACGACAATATACAGTTTCTTGTTTTGAATCGATAACACCAATACCTAAGTAGCCATGCGAGCTTACTGGTTTGCCTGAATTTAAAAACGAGTGAAATTTCGAATAAAATTTAAAATTGTATATGTATATACATATACGTATATATACACGCATGCATATGCATATATGTATGAATGTAAAAATGAAGGGAAAAAAATTCATAAAATAGGAACGTTTACAGTGAGACCGTTTTCTTTATGATGAGATTTTTTGTCACCCAGTTGGATGGAGACACTTTGCTTGAAGGAGGAAAGATAACTTTGGTCGCGATGCGACTTAAACGGTACATTTCGCTTTTCTTTCTCAAATTAACTATATTCGAGCTATTTTTCTTCGTATTTCATTGAATTTCTTTAAGTACTGTTTGAAACATCTGACATCATGGTACATATACCAAGCGCGTATACTTACAATTTTTGGGCAAAGTCACCCACAGAAGTCGTTGAACTGACCTGTTTGATGCCAAATGGGGTCGTTATACCATTTGAAACAAATCGTAATATTACTTTGGCTGAAATTAAAGAGGTGAGTAATGTTCATTGAAACATAACAAAGATATATGTTTTTTTCTTGGTACTAAAATGAATAATCCAGTAAACAAGCAATGACATTATAAATCTTTACGCAGGACTTGTGGGATGAAGCTAGCAAATATCCTCTTCATGGTACATTAAAAGATGCTCCGTCCTATGTATTTTCATGTATCAATTCTAATGCAGAAGCAGAGGAGCTACGAGATGAAACAAGACGTTTGTGCGACATAAAACCATTTTGTTCTGTGCTGAAAGTTATAGAACGTGAAGGTGTTAAAAGTGATAGAAATCTAGACTCACAGATTGGTCTCCTCATTGGGAAAGGTTTGCATGAATTTGCGGCATTGAAAAATTCAGAGGTGAACGACTTCAGGTGGAAAATGCGTGTATTAGGAGATGAAGTTGCAATGGCAAGGCAAAAAAAGTCTTGGATGGAAAAAGTACGTTATCAGTTTCCCACGAGATTAGCTCCAACCTCCACTGTACCAAAAAATATTGAATGTCGATTAAAAGATGGCAATATCGTCCTTGTCACTAAATTTGAAAACACCAAGGTAAGATGAAAAATATTTCTATTGTTCTAATAATAATTGCTGATAAAATACCTATATACATAACAATAGCACAGGTATAACAATATGCGTAAGGTTTAATTTAGAGTATTTCTTTGCAATTCGGGAACCAATCAGATATTTACAGATGATATTTGGTCTAAATCTTTAATGGAATATTTCCTGATCATTTCGTTGTATCATAGTCGAACACGTGAGATTTTATTCATTTAAAACTGCGCATTCTTCATCATTCATAAGATCCAATTTTGATTCTGCTTGTATAGCAGCAATTTGAGCCTGTGAAACATATAAAACGATTACTCAAGACGAGCCTTTACGTGCGTAAAAATCTCGTCAACGATAATAATAACCTCCAACGTGAAAGCTTTATGTCGCCAGTATTGCAGCTGTTTAATAGTGTTTAGTTTTGTTTCCTCTTGCACCAACATCTTCGTAGAAAGATCCTCGATTTTTATTCGTAGTTGATCCATTTCTTGGTTTTTAACATACATCAAAGTCTGACAATACCTGCAATTGCAAAATAAAGGCAGGGAACACTAATAGATGCAGAAGAAGTTTCAATAATTTAAACTGGTCTTACTCAAAAGATGCTACATCGGAATAATTCTCTTTTTTCATATTGTTGTTCTTGATTTCCAATTTCAATTTGTTCTCAAGATCTGATATCCTGTTTTTCAACTTTTTAATTAATTCATCGTTCATTGCTGACATATCATCAGCATCGTTTTCCCATTTTCTAAGCGCCGCAATGCGTTCTGCTCTTAGCATTTTGATCTCTGTAGCTTGTAATTTATATAGACGTTTCATTTCTATGTACTTTTCACGCATTGTATTCATTTTGTCGATTACGTTACGCCGACGATCTTCTACTTCGGCAAACAATGAATTACCTGCAAAGAAGAACACTATGAATTCTGTGTAATAATTGGACTGAAACAGTTGAACATTATTGCTTTCTTTTTACTTGCCTTTACACGTGTTGGGCATAGGATCTGATTCCAAAGCTGCTTTTTCAGCGTGCCTTAAACTAAGTTCTGCACGCATGTCTTCTAAGAGCCTGGCTTTTTCATGTAATTGTTCCTTTATTTCCTGTACATAATAAATGATCAAAATTGAATTTCTATATTTTACTTTTAACAAAAACGTTAACAATGTATCTTTTACTTTAGAGTGATGTTCAAGTTCATTGCACCGGCTTTTCAATTCTTCAATTGTATCCTCTGCATTTTTATACCTCTCCTTTTCTTCCTCCAGCATTAATAAAAGTTCTTCGATTTGATTGTTTAAAGAAGTATTGGCAGTTTCAAAAGATGCGTTTGAAAGTTCATCAGCAGCTGTCGTTACACATTCAGTTTCTAAATGCTGATCAACCTTTTGTTTTAGTTCGTCGATTTCCGTTGCTTGATTTGAAATTGTGTTTTCATATTCTTTTATAATATTACGATGCCTAAAAGGGGAGAGAAAAAGAAGAAATCAGAATAGCGTAAGGAAAGGTTAATAGTATATAAAAAAAATAAATTTACTTTTCTTCCATTGCGAAAATGATTTTATCCTTTTCCGAAATTCGTTTATCTAGAGTACGTTCGAGTGTTTCGTTCGCTTCTTGAACCTCCCGCAGCATCGTTTCATTTAATTCGAGTTTTCGCCTTAAGCTGTAAACTTCTTGCCGGTGTTTTTCATTTTCTGTTTTTAATAATGTCCAGGAACGTTTACTAATTCCTTCAGCATTTTCTTCGATATATTCTTCGGTCTCTTCGTCGATCAGTTTACTTGTCGACATATTTTAGGATTTAATTTTGTATTGTATAAAAATATAAATAATGATCCGAAGATCGATACGATTTCGACCGTTACTCGATGAACTGTGTCGTATGTATGCACGAACTGTTAGACATCTTTGTTAGTATTTCCCCCTCCCTTGTATTTTATTCTTGCTCCTGTGCTACCTTTTCTTTCCTTTCTCTTCCTCTCTTATTTTCTCTTTGTCCCCAATGTCATCCCCCCCCCCCCCCCCCCCTCCAAAAAAAGAGGGTAGAATGAGTGCTAAAGACGAAAAGCGCTATAAATTAAAATTTTTTAATCTTTAGAAATAAATTCCTCCTAAGAATTGTATACTTGTTTTGCAAGAATGATTTAAAAGAAGAAGAAATAATATGTTCGAATGTAACAAAAAATGTGAAATTGTTTTATTTTCAGACGGCCTTCACGTTTCAAACATCACACACCACAACGCCGTATCAATTATTGGTAACAATTTTAAACAAACGAGCCAACACCTTGATGTCTAGGGGGCATCCGAATGATTTTACCCTAAAGGTTTGCGGACAAGAAGAATATTTAATAGGAGATTATCCTTTGATACAGTTCAGTTATATACAAGATTGTCTAGCGAAAGACATTACTCCTACGTTGGTCACATTAAGCAGAGATAGCGTCTCTGTTGATCAAGAGAACACTGTAGAAAATGCAGAAGCGGATGCATTGCAACGTACAAGGCCTTCGTTTTCAACGTTAACCCTTCGGAAAAAGGGTAAACATATATCGGCTTGGAAAATCGAAGAACCGTTCGTTTTCACAGTTAATGCAATATCGCGGCTGAATTGCGATGCCGCTCATCGCACCGTGGAGGTATAAAGACAGTTAAAAAGTTTGTCTTGCTTATTTATTTTAAATCGTTCAAATTACCTTTCTTTGTTATTGTCTCTTTTATAGATTGGTCTCCAAGCTGGCCTTTTTCACGGTGGTAAATCTCTGTGCGAAAGTCAGAAGACTAAAGAAACCGTCGTGAACGCCGATGGTAGCTGCGAGTGGGAAGAAACGCTAAGGTTTGACATTAAAGTGCGGGACATACCGCGAATGGCTAGGCTGTGCTTTGTTCTATACGAAATTAGCAAGACTGCAAAAGGACTGAAAAGTCGTAGATTAGTTAGGGATACTAAACAAGAGTTTTTTATAAATCCGTTGTGTTGGGCTAACACGACCATATATGATTTTAAGTCCCAGTTTAAAACAGGAGCGATGACTCTTTACACGTGGACGTACGCGGAAGACATGCAAAACGACGATCTTCTTCATCCCCTTGGAACGGTCGTGTCGAATCCTCACATCGATAGAGCTGCTGCTCTGATGTTAACGTTTCCAAAGTAAGTTAACCTCCACCCAAATGGCTCGTATCTTGACCTGAGATATTTCTTTGATATACCTTCAGTTACGGAAAGGAGAAGTCCGTTCTTTATCCGACACCGGAGAAGATGGTGGAGTACGCGAGAAAATTACGGGAATCGTCTGCCGAACGTTCGATTCAGGAAGAACCTGATCAAGAATCGGACGTTGGTAAACAGCTCCAACAATTGGAGTTACTGAGATCGTTGGCAGACAGAGATCCGTTGCACGAGCTTCACGAGCAAGAACGTAAAACAATGTGGACGTTGAGACATCACTGCCTTCTAGAAATTCCTACGCTTTTGGCTAAGCTGTTACATTGCGTGGAATGGAATGATCATAGGTGAGGAATCTGAATGTTTAACATATCTACCCAACGATTATTTTCATACTGATTCTGGATGTGTACAGGGAAGTAGCAGAAGCTACAGCGCTTGTACAGCAGTGGCCGAAATTACCGGTCGAAAAGGCGCTTGAATTATTGGACTATGCTTACGCCGATCAAAACGTTCGAAGTTTTGCCGTCCGTTGTTTGATGGACGTTAGCGACGAAGATTTGAGCCTGTATTTATTGCAACTGGCCCAAGCATTGAAACACGAGAATTACTTATCCTGCGAGCTAACGGAGTTTCTTCTCAGACGCGCGCTCAACAATCGAAGAATCGGTCATTTTCTGTTCTGGCATCTTAGGTTTGTAGAACGCGGAGGACATATCGTGTATTAGGTATTCTTACTTTGTTTCTTTAATTTCGGCTGGTAGCTTTTTTTCAGTATATCGAGTGGCAACAAGTTAACGAGTAACAACGCCGTTTTGCAATCTTTCCATCTTTAGTTGGTATAATAATTTCTGTTCCATTAGATCAGAGATGCAAGTGGGCGCCGTGTCCGTTCGGTTCGGCTTGATATTAGAAGCCTACTGTAGGGGAAGCCAGCAACACATGCGATCGTTGTTTAAACAAATGGAATGCTTGGGTAAATTGAAGTGCGCTTCCGAACAGATCAAACAACGGAAAGATCGGAAAGCCGCATTGCTAGGTTTTCTAGAATTTATTCAAGAGCCTCACTGCCAAGAAGCGCTCTCGAACGTACTGAATCCGTTGGATCCTAGTTTTCGATGGAAACGTATCAAGTGAGTTGTACAGGTTTGAATAAGATTTCACAGAAAACTCTGTCGATTAAATATCACGTGTACCGTTTTTTCGTTTACAGAATCGAGAAATGTAGAGTAATGGATAGTAAAATGCGACCGCTTTGGCTCGTTTTCGAAAATACCGATCCGTTCGGTGACGATATTTACTTGATACTCAAACACGGGGACGATTTGCGACAAGACATGCTCACGTTGCAAATGTTACGAATCATGGATAAACTATGGAAGAGAGAGGGTCTGGACCTGCGGATGAATCCTTACGGTTGTATATCGACGGAGAATCGAGTTGGTATGATCGAAGTGGTACTAAACGCGGAAACGATCGCGAATATTCAGAAAGAAAAAGGCACGTTCTCGGCGACAGCCGCCTTTAGGTACGTTCAAAGAAAACAAAAGTTAAGCAAAACAAATTTAGGGAAAGTAAAAAAAAAAAGAAGGGGGAAAAAAAATTGCAGCATCTTATAATACGACGAAAAGTTTATCTCTCTGTTTTCATCATTTCCTTTCTACTGGTTAATCTTCATAGACGAGGTTCTTTGCTCGCTTGGCTGAAAGATCATAATCATTCCGAGGGAGCGTTGAATAGAGCTATCGAGGAATTCACGTTAAGTTGCGCGGGTTATTGCGTGGCTACGTACGTGCTCGGGATTGCGGATAGGCATTCGGACAATATAATGGTGAAGAAAACTGGTCAACTCTTTCACGTTGATTTTGGTCACATACTTGGCCATTTTAAGGAGAAATTTGGGTTCAGGCGTGAACGCGTGCCGTTCGTGTTGACTAACGACTTTGTACATGTGATAAACAAGGGTCAAACGAAAAAGGGGCAAGCTGTTGAATTTCAACGGTTTCAGAATTATTGCGAGCAAGCATTTCTCGTCTTACGCCAGCACGGTGGTTTAATATTGTCTTTATTCGCAATGATGATATCGACGGGATTGCCTGAATTATCCTCGGAGAAAGATCTCAACTATTTAAGGGACACCTTGGTATGCTAATATTTCTATCGCAATATTTTTACTTCATTGTCTCTCGACTGATCAATTTATTTTCTGATTCTATCAGGTACTCGAGATGTCCGAGAGCGAAGCGCAAAAGCATTTTAGGAGTAAATTCGACGAGGCTCTATGTAATTCGTGGAAAACTTCGTTGAACTGGGCCTCGCATAATATGTCGAAGAACAATAAAACGACATGAATGAATACGATCGAATAGAGAATACACGAATCGAGCATGAAAAGGACGCGACAGAGGAACTGAATAAAGCGAACGAAACAAGATCAAAGAAGAATCGAGGAGTCGTCGATACGCTTATTAACGAACAAGCCTCCTCGTATCACGTTAACGTTCAAACGTTCAAGATAGAATGTTTGATAAAAAAGAAGCGAGAGGAGACGAAAGAGAAAGAGTGATCTGCGAAGGTGATTTATCGTTATTCACCGTCAGTTGCCTTTCTCGTTGCTGCATATGGTAGCAGCGCATCCATACATGGGTACACGTAATTCTTCCCTTTTTATTTTTCTCTCCGATCTCCTCGTCCTGCGCGGGTGTGTTTGCACGCGCCCGTGCGTTCGATTCTTTTGTAGATAAACCAAATTTTCCCGAATTCTCTTTGTCCCTTTGATCAGGCGGACGGAAAATGGAAGCGAAATACGTATACAGTACATATCATCGGCCGATATTTAAAGAAACAGGGGATTTTCAAAAGGAGTAAACGTCGAAAGTAACGCTTCGTGACACACCTGTTTACACCGTATCAAATTAATGTCGCAGTATCGTGACTGTGTCATTCGAGCAGCAGTTGTATCATTTTTCCATACGAGGCTAGATGGGATCGTTTGTTTGATGAATCGGACAAAGCAACGAGATGAATCTTGGAAATTTCAAAACCCTCCTCCCAAGTACCGTTGTATCGATAACAATAAACGAAGTTATTCTTCATCTGTGTGTATTCATTAAAACTCCTGTATATCAATCGCCACAATGTATCGTTACCATTTTTCAGCTAAACGAGACAGGGAAGACGGAGGTAACCCGAGGAAACATTTGCAACGAGTTATAAACGAATTACAGGTAGAAAGAACGAAGATGGGGATGCGACAGAAGATGATTATCACGAGTGTAATTGCGAACGTGAACAAGGCCGTCGTGTGGATTCTCTTACTTCGTTATTGGCCGCCGGTCGCCGGTAAGTCCGCGGATCAGCGGAGTCGCGTTACATAAGTTGACACGACGCGGAGGAACGACAAACAGAGATGGGTGACAGACGACTACAGGTGGGAGAGGAGAGACGAGAGAGGAGAGAGAGGAGAGAAACGGCAATCCGAGAATGTTGTGTACTTGCTTTTGCGGCTAGCACCTAATCGTTAAGCTTCTCTACCACGATATGTACCGAGTTGCACGGATCGAATCATCGTACCTTTACGAAAAGCGTTGTTTTCGACGCCGATTGTTCATACGTTGAGTTTCTTTTACAACCCGGCAGATCCGAAGAAATCGAGCGACCGCGATCGGTAGAAAACATCATTCCTTTCGTTAAACAACGACTGTAAACGCGTTCTTACCTTACGTCGAAAAAAAGAAAAGTATCTTTATGCGGGAAGGTGATTGCGTTTTGTCGCGTTAACGCGAAGAATCGTAAGTTGTGCGCGTCGGTGGTAGAATTCGATAGAGGGATAATCAAACGATATGCGAAAGTGACACGCAAAAAAGGAAGAGAAACATCTCGTCGAAGCTGTCGATGTTTCACGATAAGGGTGCTTCGCGAGGAAAACTGTAAACGACGATCGACCCTTTGGTCGGTAAACTGAAAGCAAAATGACCACGGAGGAAACGGAACCCTTAATTCCCTCCAAAGTGTCGACTCCCTATGGGAATAATAAACTACAATCCGTCTCGTACAACGCGATCTCGTTGGTAAGCAATGCACATATGTCAAAGAATGATGTAAAATTTTCTTCTTGCTTATTTGTTCGTTGAAAATTTTATATACGTAACGAGTGTATAGTGGGTGTACCTGAACACTCGGTGAAACGATGAATTATATAGAAAGTGACGATTAATAATTATGTAATTAAAAAAACGCGGACAATGTACGTCGCAGAGAAACATTGCATTTCATTTTTTTTCTTTTAATTATTCATTATCGTAGGAAGGAACGAGTTCGACGTCGTTCAATTTGAAGCCCATCTTGCGTGGTTCGAGCGGAACGGTAACCCCGTTAACGTCGGCGACGATACCGAGCCGTTCGGAAAACGAATCGATTACGTATACTTGGAGCGATTTGAACGTGTACGTTGCGAGGAGGAACGAGAAAATGTGGGATGCTTTGTTCAAGAGGAAGAGACCGATCGAGCAAAGGCATCTGTTAAAAGATGGTAACAGATTTGATGGAGATTCGACGATATTGAAAGTCGAACGAATTTTTGAATTGAAATTTTGTTACAGTGTGTGGTGTAGCTTATCCCGGTGAATTATTGGTGATTATGGGCTCCTCTGGTGCCGGTAAAACGACTTTACTGAACGCTCTAACGTTCCGTTCGGGTCGCGGGGTGACCGTGTCCGGTGTGATGGCCGCGAACGGAAAGAGGGTGTCCTCCACGATACTGACATCGAGAACCGCATACGTGCAACAGGACGACCTGTTCGTCGGCACTCTAACCGTGAAGGAGCATCTTCTGTTTCAGGCCATGGTACGGATGGATCGAAAAATCCCCATGGAACAACGAATCGATAGGGTGAATCAAGTGATCAATGAGGTACTTAAGCGTTACTAATATTGCGATCCCCTCGCAATACTAATTAAACTGTTCTATAACATATTTTCGTTTCCATCAGCTCGCTTTAACGAAATGTAGAAACACCGTGATCGGACAACCGGGACGCATCAAGGGCCTCTCCGGAGGCGAGATGAAAAGATTATCCTTCGCGTCGGAAGTTCTTACCGATCCACCGTTGATGTTCTGCGACGAACCGACCTCGGGTCTCGATTCTTTTATGGCGCACCAAGTGGTCTCTGTGTTGAAGGCATTAGCTGGTAAGTGAACGGTTTATATATCAGAGGAACTTTTGAGGTAATATCGCGTATTGGTCTTAAAAGATAGAGGAGAGTTTTTCAAATACATTGATATATATAGTCATTATATTACCTAATATCGACCACTCGCAGCACGCGGCAAGACGATCGTCGCTACGTTGCATCAACCCTCCTCGGAATTGTTCGCCCTGTTCGATAAAATCCTGCTGATGGCCGAGGGAAAGGTAGCCTTTATGGGCACAGCGTCGCAAGCTTGCGCTTTCTTCGAGTCGTAAGTAAAAATTTTCTATTTGAAAATTTTAATTAATCCTTTGAATATTGATTAACCTTACGTTCCCAGGCTCGGCGCCGCTTGCCCAAGTAATTACAACCCGGCGGATTATTTCATTCAACTGTTAGCGGTTGTGCCGGGTCAGGAAGCGTCGTGTCGCCACGCCATAAACACCGTGTGCGACGCCTTCCGGAAGAGCGATCACGGTATTAAAATCGCGCTCGAAGCGGAAGCGGTGAACGGGGAATTCGAGGATTCCCTCCGAAACTCCAAGCACCCGGAGTCACGTTCGCCGTACAAAGCAAGCTGGTGCGAACAATTTCGCGCGGTTTTATGGCGGTCCTGGCTGTCGGTGATCAAGGAACCGATCCTCGTTAAAGTTCGTCTCCTGCAGACTGTCGTATGTGTCGTCGCTGAACTCTCCTATCTATTTACTGTTCTTTTACCTTTTTATAAATATCGTTCTTCTGTTGTAGATGGTGTCGCTGTTGATCGGAATCGTTTATTTCAACCAGCAGCTCGATCAGGACGGTGTAATGAACATCAACGGTGCTCTATTTATATTCCTCACCAACATGACCTTTCAGAACGTCTTCGCCGTGATCAACGTAAGGATTCTTCAAACGGGACCTGAAATAGAAAATACAATTAGTACATTTGATTTTTGATCATCAGGTTTTCTGCGCGGAATTGCCGATATTTCTACGCGAGCATCGAAACGGCATGTACCGTACCGACGTGTACTTCTTGTGTAAGACACTCGCGGAAGCGCCCATCTTCGTAGCTGTGCCACTGCTGTTCACCATGGTCGCCTACCCTATGATCGGACTGTATCCAGGGGTTGATCACTTCTTCGTTGCTGTTGGTATCGTCGCTCTGGTTGCTAACGTTTCTACTTCTTTTGGTAAGTTAGACCTACCTCGACTACCTTGTTGATACAACGTTTCTTTTATTGTGTTACACTTTCGATGAATACTTTCAGGCTACCTGATATCCTGCATCAGCAATAATTTATCCATGGCGCTGTCCGTTGGTCCTCCAGTGATAATACCGTTTCTATTGTTCGGTGGATTTTTTCTGAACACAGCGTAAGAACAAACGTTCGAGGTAAAGATATCCGAGTGTACAAGTGCATTTTATACGGAACATGTGTGTGTCTGTGTCACAGATCCGTTCCGTTCTATTTCGAATGGTTCTCCTATCTGTCTTGGTTTCGCTACGGTAACGAAGCTCTGCTTATCAACCAGTGGTCCGAAGTGGAATCCATAGCGTGTACGAGAAGCAACGCGACCTGCCCGAAAACTGGACGGATGGTGTTGCAAATGTACAATTTTAAAGAGGTTCGTTTATTGAAATTCAATGGGATACGTTCTTAGTTTCTTTTCATTAATGTTATTGTTTTCAGGAACATTTCTACGCGGACATCGTTTGCCTCTTCTCCCTGATCGTCGCGTTTCGTTTCCTGGCCTTCCTCGCTCTGTTCTGGAGGACCCGGAGGAACTCTAAATAGCGATGAAGGAGCTGCTGTGTCTTCGGCAAGAGAAGATTTCGCACAAGCAGCGTCCTCGATCAAACGCATTTCCCTTATTTCTATACTCGTTGTACTTACTTTATCGAAAGTATGTATTCATTGTTATTTCTACCATCTGTACACAATAACTCAATTAAACGGTGTTTTAAAATGCACTTCGAGCGTTTCGTATATCATTTATTACCTTTCCTCCAGTTATTCCCTATTCCTGATTAGTTTCGATGTAATTCTGGCTGCAGAAAAAACGGGGTGTGTTCAGCTCTCGTTTGCTTTCTCGTTTCCAGTGGTACACGCGTTCACCGCAAACTAGGGTAAGAAGAAAAAAGGAAATGATGAAAAAATTGGAAAGAAGAGGAGGAGGCAGCCTGCTTAAAATTCTCGGTATTTCCTTTACGCGCACCCATGTACTAACACGCTTGACAATCGTTGACCACCCTTAGGCTCTTCGATATCATTGACAAACCGGTTGTCATTTACACCGTGCGAGCGCGTTACTCTTGCCGGGTAGAAAATCAATGAGAAGAAAAAGGATTAGCAACGATTCGAATCTTTTCGAACTTGTAAAAGTTACTTTAGAAAGTATCCCTTCGGGGAACTGGCATCCGGGATGATTATGAAAAAATAATTGAACGAAGTAAAAGATATATCAGTGGTCGGGACGAGAAATTTGTATGACGTAAAACCTTGCAGCAGGCATATACATATAGGGTTTCCGTCTTCGATTACGGTAATAACGTCTAATCCAGCGGCTTCGTGTCGCCTCGTCTTTCATTTTTCAACCAGTAGCGGTTCAATAGTGGTCAAGTTAGTCGAGACAATTCGCGTCTGTTTTTAAAATAACAGTATATACATTTTGCGAGAAAGTCAAGATGCTCTTACATTTTCTATTCCTCTCGTTGTTCACGAGCGGTGATCATTGACGCGGTCGGATGATCCAAAATCGAGCAGGGTCATTGATCGCGCGAGAACTGGAGGAACGATCTTTGTATCTAAGACGTATGATTTTCAAGGCTCTGCTCGCTGAAAGGAATAAAGGGAAAGAAACAGGAGACACGCGGTAGCGGCGGCGACGGCGGTGAGTCGAGCGACTGGGTGGTGAGAAGCATCGGGGACGGTATTCATTGTCAGTAAGAATCTCGTTTGCGAAACGATCGTACCGCTTCTCCCGATCATTTTTCAAAATAACAATGTACGCTTCGAAAGAAAGCGACGATTGGTCTAATAACGAGGAGAATCGTAGGAGAAGAGAAACGATCGACAACGTGACTCTGTCTTGGAGGGATGTGTCCGTGTTCGCGATGGATCGCGGACGAAGAAGCGTGTGCAAACAATTGATCGACAACGGTGTGTGATTTGATTTATCGAAAATTCTCATCGTAAGATTGAAAATTTAGTAATCTTTCGATCGATCCTCGATTTCAGTGCGCGGTATGGCGAGAGCTGGCGATGTGACAGCGATAATTGGTTCAAGGTAAGCTTGCTGTGATTGCAACAATGCGCTTAATTACCCTCGCACCTTTTCTTCAATTTAGCGGAGCTGGCAAAAGTTCGTTGATGGCGGCGTTGGCTTTTCGCACCGGCAGTAAGTATATTCATTCATATACGTATTCTTCATTTTCTGGATAGTTGATTCCATTTTTCGATTATCTTCCTTTCTTCACAGCTGAACTTTTGGTACGCGGTGATATAAGAGCGAACGGGATCCCGGTCGATTCTTCGTACATGATGCAGAACAGCGGATACATGCATCAAGAGGACATGTTCGTGGAAACGATGACCGTGATCGAACATCTTTGGTTTATGGTACAGGATTTAGGAAAAGGCGAAGAAATCTCAGCCTCCGGTTCTGCCGGTACTTCTTCTCATCTTTATTCCGTGGTTGTAGGCTCGAATGAAGCTTGATGGAAAGACAGGAGTACAGGATATTCGAGGAACTATTGATCGATTGGTGAACGATGTCGGGTTAACTAGTAGAAGAGATGTGCGAATCGGTAATGGCATCGACGATAAATTGTTATCTGGCGGAGAAAGGAAGAGGTTGGCCTTTGCTACGGAAGTACGATACATCCATGCATTTCGTGTCTCATCTTCTTCTTCTTCTTTATTTTTTCATTTAGTTCAAATTTTACTTCATTTTCCTTTGTTTCTGCTTTGTTAAGCGTCAAATCTTGCCGGACCTTTTCAGCTGTTAACGGATCCAAAAATCTTGTTCTTGGACGAGCCAACCACTGGACTGGATTCCCATTCAGCAAACTGTTTAATTACCCAGCTGAAGAGTTTCGCGGCTAAAGGACGAACGGTACTCTGCACGATACACCAACCAAGCTCCGCCATATTCGGTTCCTTCAACCGGATAATCTTGATCGGCGATGGACGAGTGGTGTTCGCTGGACAAATCGATCAAGCGATCAAATTTTTCGCAAGGTACTAATTAAAAGTTCAATCGCAGTTCGATAATTCATTCGTTCGCTTTACAGTCAAGGCTACGAGTGTCCCCGCAATTACAATCCTGCCGATTTCCTGATAGCAGTCGTGTCTTCCGGTTCCAAACACGAAGATGGTCAAACGACCACGCGGAAATTGTGCAATTTATTTTTAACCAGCGAGGCTTCCAACGAAATCGATTATATTTTTCGAAGGGAGATCGAATCGGTGAATTCTTTCCATGTACGCGATCATATAATTCTTCCTCCTCTATTTTTCTATTTGTCACGTTTCCTTATCTATATTTTAGCCTAGCAAGGAATTACCTTTCAACGCTAAAGCTGTCGCGTAAGTATCTTAAGAAATTTCAATTTATTCCTTCATTGAATTTCACGAATTCCCTGGTATTTGTATAGGAGGAAAGGATCGCGATACTGCACGCGACTTTATTGGTTGGTTTATCGAGATTTCCTGCAAGTGTTGAGAGATCCATCGGTACAAATCGTCAGGATACTTCAGAAAGTGGTAAGCGAATGACTGGGGTACCGAAGGTAGGCGGACTCGATGCTTTCTAGAAGGAAAACAGAAAAGAAGACGAGGAGATCGAATGGAAATGAAGTAAAGACGCTTGAATTGAATAGAGCGTCGCGACGATCGCTGGCCTCTGCTTCGTGGGCTCGGTGAATTTCGATCAGCTTGGAATCCAGGCAACCCAGGGGGTGATTTTTATTTTGGTATCAGAGAACGCGTTTTTCCCGATGTACGCCACGTTAGCTTTGATACCGCAAGAATTGCCGCTTCTTCGAAGAGAATACCGGGATGGAATGTACCCGGTTCATCTGTACTACGTCGCTCGTCTGCTTTCTTTGGCAAGTAGATTTCTGTAATTAGTTGTAAATGGTTTCTATCGGTTCCTTTCATTAGTCGGATTGCAGATACCCGGATTGATCGTAGAGCCGCTGTTATTCGCAACGATAATATATTGGCTGGCTGGTTTGCGAGAAACGGTCGAAGCATTTGGATTGTCGTTGTTGGTTCTCCTGCTGACGATCAACGTGTCTACCGCCTGTGGTAAACGTTTCATTTCCATTTTAATTTTCAATTATTCAATTATGTATTCAAGGAATCGTTCTTTTAGGATGTTTCTTCTCGACGGTGTTTGAAAACGTACCATTGGCGATGGCGTACTTGGTACCTTTTGATTACGTACTTATGATCACTATGGGTCCCTTCGTTAAGCTTGGGTACTTTTAATCTTATTCATTGTGATCCATATGTAAACAGAGTAATAAGATTATTAATATATTTTTTATATTACAGATCACTGCCAGTGTACATCGGATGGGTGAAATATATTTCTTGGTTACTACATTCTAGTGAAGCGCTTAGCATTCTTCAATGGAACGACGTACACAATATATGTAAATGTCGTTAATAAGAGGCAGAGTGTAATTAGTTAATCAATTGATCGTTCCTTTTTTCATGTTTGCAGCTTGTGAAACAATCGATCCGGAATTGCCGTGTATCACCGAAGGATTGCAAGTTTTGCAACGTTATGACTTTGATGAGGATCACTTTTGGATGGACATGGTGCTAATGGCAGTAATTTATCTTATTTTTCATGTACTGGCTTACGTTTGTCTTTGGAATCGTTGCCGATGGAAATAAGGTGCTTTGATATACGCTTCTAATCAACGATATAAAATAAAAAGTATCATTCGCTTTATTTCTAATGTATCTAGAAAAATGTACTAAAGATCTACTTATCTTCTTTTTACAATCCTGTTCTTCTTTTGTCTATCCGTCTTTTTTTAAAGAATGATCTGAAATCATATACCAAATTTTATAATTTTATAAATCAACGCTAATTTTTGTTATATTATCGACATTCGTTACCGTCGCGAATTTTATAAAATTATTAATAACTCTTTTTTGACGAATAATTCATACTCCCGTCATTGATTCTGAATCTATATACCCATGGCTACTTTCCAGTATAGGTTTTGTAAAGATCTTGCCAGTAATTAATTAATTATAACGACTTTTATGTCCACCATAAATTAATGTCTACTACTTACTTTTATAATTCGATCCTAGCGCCATCTCTTTAAAAATAGCTCAAACTACTCGACAATTTACCGACTTCCGTATGGTAAGTAGCTTCCGCTGCTTACCAACAGGCAGCGCTTGGTAGTTTGAGCTGCTTTTGTATAGATGGCGCAATGGTCGAAGAATAAGTATACCTCCTCTTTCTTTGGTGTCCGAAGACAGACTGACGCTCTTCAGTGCGAAGCGCTTATATAGAGTCCAAATTTAGTTCCACCACTCTACCGCTAGATGGACGGTCATTTTACTGTCCATAAAATGCACTATTTTTAAAATATCAATTTCCTCATTTATAACAAAGCGTGAGACCATTTTTTGAATTATATCGTAATTATAGAAGGCTCTAGATTTTCTAATAACACCAAAAAACTATTTATTTTGCGAAAAAATGCAATTTTCTGTTTCATTAATTTCTACTGCTCAATCACGTTGACGGTACAATTCCCCAAGTCCGCGTAAATTCAAAATAAAAATACATAAAAGTAATGATAGCATAGTCCCAGGTTATGGTAATCTAACGTTTATAATTGCAAAAAAATGGAGGACGTAAAATTACACACGGGGATTCATATTTCTCGTGGTGAACGTTTTATTCAATTACGATAATAATCGCCGTTGTCGCAGTGAACGATGATGAATAATAATAACCGTCGTAATTTGTAATAACTATAATCGTGGTAAACGATACGGGAAAATAGAATTGCAACTGCAATGATAATAATTAACCCTTCACTGTTTCCATCGGTGATCGATCATGATTACGATAACAATAACGAACAGCAACACTCGAACATACAATCAAAGCGTCTGCGATTTGACAATAATTAAATAATACGATCGCGAGAAATGATGGATTTTCTTTGTTTCTTAATTTTCTTTTTATACATATGATTTATGCGTATTAAGGTGTATATGTATATACATGGTGTAAAGATAGTCAACACTCTTTTTTAAATGATTAACTTAAAGAAATAAATTGAAAATAAATTGCTGTTCTGTCAAAGGTTAATCTTTTTATCAATAAAAAAGTTGTTCAATTAAAGGATTGTTCAATGTACTTGAATATAATTTTGCGTTAAATCATATAAAGAACCGATTGAAATCGTGAATTTCCTTCACACCCTACACGTGTTCCGCTCCGTTCACCCGTGTAGGTAAGTACATGTATTTCGTGTAACAATTTCATCCGTGCCATCTCTTCATCTTCGTTCCACGACGATGATCGTATTAATCGACGTGGTCGTTAATTAACAAGACGAGCTTCGTCGTTTTCATTCTTTGGAACGTTTTTTTCATTTTCTGTATATGTGTTTGTGTGTATGTGTGTGTCACTAAGGTGTATACGAAATCGACTGCAAAAAGGACGACCTATGAAATGCGTATGAACGAGCATGTTGCTTATGTACAGAGTGTTCTTTTGAAACGTTACGAGTACAGTTACGCCTTGCTTAACAATTCGATTAGCGCCTCTCGTCTTCGAATTGATTTTACGTTACGCTTCGACGATCCTCGTCTCGCGAATCTTTTCTTCCTTCGAACGTTCCTTTTTACGATTACGAGGCCATAATCAAACGATAACTCTACGATTACCTATTTCATTTGAAATTAAAGCAGATCGAGACCTAAATAATTTTTATTAATATTTCCTTCTCTTCCTGTTAGCCAATCGATGAAATTTTAATTTAGGCTCTATTCACGTTTCCATTCGGAACGTTTGAAAATTTCAGTCTAACGTCATCGTAGACACTGAAATAGACTCGAATCCCATTTTACAGACTCGTAATCTTGCCCCACCGTACCCAGTGATTTCTCGATTAGAGGAAGTCTCTTAACGTCCACCTTTCTTTCGGATTCGCAGCCAAAGATCGATATCGATGCACGTTGCACCCACGAGAGATAAAGCTAGTTTGCCGATGGTGAACGTGCGAAAGCTGAACAGGTTTCAATAGTACGAATCTGTGTGTCTGTTGGCTCTTTTTCTCCTTATCTCTCTCTCTCTCTCTCTTTGAAAAAATAAATCATTTTGCTAAGTTAATCTGTCTCCGTCGCGAGCGACTGTGACTTTTGAAACACACGATGTCCGGTTTCTTCAGCGGCAGCTACGCTACTTTAGACACCGACTAATGTCGGTTCTCCTAACACGCTTTCTGCAATTTAGGCTTCCTTCGGTTATACGGAAATGTAGAGAAAGGAATGTCTTAACATTTGGCTCGTTTTGTCATGTTTTTTAAGAGCTAAGGTCCCTTGTTCCTTAATTTTCTGTAGATCAAACATTTCTATATTTTCAATGATGAATAAACGTCGTATCTTTCATTCAAGATAAATTAATACATCGCTTTGTTCGTTATAAATCATTTTTCTATCAAAGGAAGCCAGAATTGTAGCTAAGTGTACACGTGTCTGTCGCTTCTAATATGTTCTCTAGTTCAAAGTTTATCTACGATCTATCGCGACTGATTGGTTTCCCTTTCAAGTGTAATCGATTGACAACTGATCGAATTTACACAAAATGCGTCTGTTCGAGGGAGAGACATCATCATCGGAGCATATGGATCTTGTTTCAAATTTGAAACTTACAATCACTCAAGTATTATTCGTCGAAAATGAAACTTTGAAAATTTGTCGAATGATTTTTCCGATTAATCTTGGCTAGAAATCGAGCCCCGACCTCGCGTTCTTCAACCTTCGATTAATTCAAAATTGATTTCCGCGTTACCAGACACGCGTCGATGGATTATATATTATCGAGGAGAAACAGATGATTTTTGATCGGTGCTTTTATTTTTGTTCTCCTGTTAAGCAATTTATTGGCACTGACGGTCTTAAAGCATTCGAAACTTCCTTCTAGCGGAACAATTTCCTTCGAAAGTTCAACGATCGTGAAAGAAACATCGCGCTAAGACAATGAAAACACTTTTTACTTTTAACATATTCCCGTGTGAAAGAAGAAGGCACATGTTTCGGCAGATTTTATCGTTCGTATATGCTCTTTGCCAAGGGCTTTGATCAATTTTTGTTGTCTTTTCTCGATGAAACGAAATCAATCCGCGTTTACCAAGCAGTCGCGTGGAAATTGAAAGCAGCGGTTCAAACGCGTAATTAAGCAACGTTACGGTCACGGTTTCTAATGAGAAAAAAAAAAAAATGGTAGAACCTGTTTTTGCCGCTTTCCTGTTTTGCATAACCCCTCGAGCAGAAAGATTATCAGCTTTTAGGGTACATGGAATGAAAATCAAATGAAATTTTCACGCGATGGAATTTTCACGATCGATCGGAAATGGTTTCTCTTTCTCCTCGAATTTTTTCATCGCTTCCTGTTTAAAGCTGCAAAAGGCATTGTCGGATATGTGGGCTGAGATCTTCGAATCGCTGCTGTAATGGTTTTACAAAAATATCATCTGCTTTCGCGTCCCAGTTTTTCAGAGTTCAAGTTTCCTTTTGTTTTGTTTGTTTTTTTTTTCATTTTTTTTCTTTTTTCTTTTTTATTTTACTTCTAGTCCGTTTCTGGAACGACGAACAAACGTGAATGGTTTTTAGAAAAGGTCGCTTTGAAAACACAGGAAGAGACACTAGTACGAGGTACGTTTTATTTTTCGCGTAGAAAGCATCTATTGTTTTCTCCATTTTCATTCTTTACTCGGTTCATTAATGTTCTTAACAGTTTAAAATTTGTGCAAGGTTTTTGCATCAGCAACAATACACGTTTACCGTGTTCTTCTATCGTTTCTTCTATTTCATTTCTCTTGTGTTTGCTGGTTATTTGCTTTGGCACATTTAACTGAATGGGTCCTGGTTAACATGTTTATTCGAAAACGTGGCACACCGATGAAATTCGTTTTTTTTTTTTTTTTTCAAAATAGAAATCTTTTTCAAACGATCCTGGATAATTTTCGATCAAGTCTGGATTAGATTTGGCTGATTTTTGGTTACAGACTATACGTTACGGGTCCTCGTTTCGTCGATTCAATCGCATCTCTCAAAATACCAGCAAGTTTGATTATGTTTGATTAGATTTGAGTTGATCTAACGTAGCGTTCATTAAGGACCTATATCTTCCGATTGACTAAATTCCCAAAGCTGAGATTTCTTATTTCAAATCCGTCATCTTCGATCGGCCACCGATCTCTCTTTAACAATAATTCCAAACAATCTCTTCGAGCAATCATCCGCGATTCCTCGAGGCTCGATACTCGATCGATCAATAGCTACATACGTTCAATAACATCGTCAAAAATATTCGCCTATTATTTATTGAACTCTTGCCACATTTTCTCGCGTCCTGACGAGTAAAGCTCGAGAGAGTCCGATTAGGTAGGTACAAGTTTGCAATTCCACTACGGTAGTCAATAATATTATCATATATAATATATGTGTGTGTATACATAATATACTTTGTTAAGCCTCAACAATTCCCGTAATAAGTCTATATTAATCGCAGGCCTCTGGTCGGTCAGGACTTTCGTCGATTTCCTTGATATTTTTTTTATTTTTATTATTTTATTTATCAGCTATCGACGTATCTCGATGAACGAAGCTGCGTGGAAAAATAGATGCTTTTTTTT